CCATTCACCAGAAGTGTGTGTGGTAATGGAAGGACAATGTATTTACTGGAATGAGAAAGTGATTTGACTGGAAATACGTTTTTTTTTTTTATGCATCAGATCAATTAATTGGTTGAAAGCTAAAAATAGGTTCTCAAATCCAGACATCGCTTGTCTTTCCTACGGTTTTGCAAGTTTTAATATACATTTTGTCTGGGTGGGACCAAGTAATGAATTAAAGTATAAACGATAAGACTCAGAATGTACGTGTTGTGTTCATGGCCCAAACCAATTAACTCATTCACTGCCATTGACGTCTATAGACGTCAATCTAAATCCGAACGTTCACCAGGGAGGGAGAAGGGGGCATGTGGTGCTGTGAGCAGCAAACAGCCAGAGGAGCAGCCATGCTTACACAGAGGATCGCGGATCTGAGAAGCTCACGCAACTAACGCTGTTTGAGAGCCTGTTCAGTCATCAAACGGATAAATATGAAGCAGCTAGATGCCACGATGCTAGTTCTTCAGGTTTTAGTTAACCTCAGAGACTCCAGGATCCTCGGAGGCTTCTCCCTCCCTCCTCGTCCAGCAGCAGCGGCAGCGGCTCCTCCCCCCGTCGTAATGTGGTAAGTTACTTTTCACTTCAACATGTTGCATTTACGAGTTTATTTCTCCCCTTTGGCTAATGTACTATCAGCCCCTCCAGGATTTGCGCGCAATTGTTGATTGATGAATGAATTATTGCGGGGTAAAATGCTTGATTACGCGGGACATTTTTCCAAAAGTTTCTCTTGAGTTTGGAGGCGTGTGAGTCTGGCATGCAGCATTAGCTGCCAGGGAGCTATGGATGATGTTACCGTGTGGTTTATAGAAGGGACAGGGGGAGGTGATCCATGATGAGCAACAAGTGTTAGATTTACCGCACCATGTGCATTCTGCCAGGCCCGGACTGGCCATCGGGAGCATCGGGAGATCTCCCGGTGGCCTGCGTGTCAAAGTGGCCTGGGCCTGCCCTATCATCACGGTCTTTTTTTCTTTTTTTTTTTTTCTTCTTTCTTTTAATTTAATTTCATCCTCACGGTCTTTGCAAACTCCTACCCTGCCTGGTGGCCTGGTCCAATGAGCAAGGCCCAGGCCAAAGGCAGTGTTGTGCGTGAACGAGTTCAAAAGAACGCGTTCATTGAACACGCTCATTTTTTCGTGAAACGTTGAACACATTTTTTAATAAATAACTTGAACGTGAATTAATTCATATTATGTGTCATGAACGGCAGACAATTTGTTTTCCATTTAAAACTGAGTGAAATCTGTTTTCTCTTTTGAAACGCAACGAGAGAAAGTTCCTCCCTCCTGTATTCTCCGCACTGTTTCCGCCGAAAACTAAAAATTCCTACGGTTTCCACCGTCTGTGAACGCACCCCGACTCAGTGTACTTGCGGTGCGGCGCTATATGCTAGTGCTATTCATTGGTTGTTGGACTCACATGTGCCGTGAAGAAAACACAGGGGTAAGTCAGTGACACAGGGCCGTTTACATTGACATAAAGTATAGACACACGTTCTGCAGCGCATTACAGTTTGTACTTATGAGCAGAGATGGGACAACTCAGTTCCCATTGAAACCCATGTAAATCTTGTCTGCATTGGAGTCAAAACATCCTGTGCAGTGTACAGGATATAATATATATATATATATATATATATATATATATATATATATATTATACCACGTATTGTGATTTCTAGCTCGTAGTGAAAAAAAATCTTTATTTGAATATCTCGCAAAAAGTAAAATGAACTGAACTTTGAACTAGCTTTAGTTCAGAATTAAAATTGAGAACTTCGAACGTGAACTGTTCACTTTGAGCATGTATGAACTGAACTTGAACTTGTTCAGAAAAGCTGTGAACTGGCACAACACTGGCCAAAGCTTTACTGTCATTGGGCCAGAGCAACATTAAACAAATGTGACGTCACACGTCGGCTACACAGCCAGGCAGCCTAGCAGTGCACCCAGTGTAGCTTGAGCTTCCCCGGTTGAAATGAGTGGTCTCTCCAACTGATGGTTCATACGTTTTTATTTTTCCTTTTATATGAGCTGTAACGATGTGATTTTACCTTACTACTTTTTTAACAATAATTGATTAGCTTGTTATAGTTATACACTAATGAACACTTAGTTCATTGTGTGTGTGTGTGTGTGTGTGTCTTTATTCTCACTAAACTCCATAAACGTTACGTTGCTAAGCAACGTACAACAATCTTTAAACGTCCGAGATTATATAAACAGTCAATATAAAAAGAAATAAAGAAAACAAAAGTTTTGACAGTCAATCTTAAAACTATTAAAAGAACATCAAAATACAATGACAAAAACCCAAATTTAGAACCTTGTTTGGCCTGAATGGATGAAAAGCTCCCGGCCTGAAATGTTGTCCCACTCCGGCCCTGCATTCTGCTATGGTGCGTCTCACTGTGGAGGGTGCGTCAGGAGCGCGCCCGCTGCTGCTTTGGAACAGGGGGAGAGAGACTCTCCCTGTTGCTCTGATCCCGGAGTCTGCGTGATTTTGCGTTCAAACATTGAGAGATTCTGGACGGAGTGATAGCAATCACTGGCTTATACTATAGTAAAAATAAACATAAAGTAACGTTTTTAGCGAATATTGAAGAGGTTTTTTTATCTCAATGTCATAGCTGCTGAAGCCAAAACACTTATAATGTGAAAATGTATGGTGATTTTATATTTTCCTTTGTGTTGTAGATTGTTGACCCCAGGACCCAAAATGCAGCAGCAGAGCTTGATTTGGATCAGCAGCTGACTTCTGCAGCTCTTCATAACTGATGAACTTCTGGATCCTGGATCTTGTTGTCAAACAGACAAAGCTGTATGCAGCACAATATTTCAGTGCACACACACAGCGTCTCCCATTCAGCAGAGAAAATGCATGGAAGCCAGTGACAGTCTAGCAGCTAAAAACCTTTTTTGGTTTGACATTTCTCTCTGGGTTTGTAAAAAAAAAAACTAATCTGGAAATGTATTGGGAGTGCAGATGAAGTAGATCCCACACTTCAGCAGAGTGTGGGGTCACCCAATTACTATTCTTTGTGAAACAATTTTACTTTAGTTTATAAAGTGTTCAGAAAGTGTTATTTTTACTGTATATTTGTATACAAAGTGTTTTTATTGTATACAAGTTGAATATTGTATGTGTACATAAGACAATCCTTTGAGTGTATTGTGTGTACACGTATAATTTGTTTAAAAATAATTATACATTAAAAATACAATTCAAAGTATTGTTTCTGTTTTGTGTCATAGTAAGAAACTGTCATACATTGTAAAATATCAGAAAAGACAAAAAAAACACTTTTCTGCTTGAAAATGCGCGTTTCACAAAAAGGCTGTTTTCTCCAAATCTCGGTCAGGAAACAGCATTTTGTGTGAAAGTTACCTATGTTGCACTCTCAATTGCTAAAAAACTAAAAGGGTTAGAAACTTACTTTTTTTTTTTTAAATGAAAGCCAAGGGATAGAGCTTTCATTCATACTTGTGTCAACCAAGGGCTCCCATTTCTATGCGGTTCGGAAAAACACTAAAAATGTCAAATCTCTGGCAGTATGAGGGATGCTGCTTTTTAAATGGCTGGCAGTGAATGAGTTAAAAGACATATGCTTCACATGATTAATTTACTCAGTTGCGATAAAACTGTAGGGTAAAATCCGGTTCATGTACAAGCATCAATTTAGTAAAAATGTATTTGCTCCAGTTCCCTTGAAAGCACCCATTTCTTTTTATAATTTAACAAGCCTCACCTCACTCGTGTTCCTTTTATCCATATAATCTTGCAATTTATTCAGCTGTTTAGTAAGTCCAAAACTTATGGCTAGACAAAATTGCACTTTTTGGTACTTGGTAAAAAACATGAAGATTTGAATCCATTTATTTAACAGATTTTGTAGATTCAGAATATGAAAAACAGTCAAAAACCCACCCTCATTGTAGTCGCACAAACATATTCTCCCATACCTTTTCTTCAGGACAGTTACAGCATAACAGCTTGACACACAAGCTACAACATTTAGAATATTTATAACTGCTGTTACAACTACAGAAATAAAAACAAGACTTTTATTAGAGATAAAAAGCAGACAGCAGAAAATCTTATGTATACAGACACTATTTCTTCCCAATCGGAGGCGAGTGCCACACTGCAGAACTTGTGCGTTTACAATAGCGAGGCTTGCTCTTGTAAAAGATGTTTTCAAGATTAGGAGGTTCAACTTTCCCAAAGAAGGCATATAAATTTTGAGGGCTAAAATACTGCTTCTTGATTAGAACCTGAAGGTTATGTCCTAGAAAAAAGAAAGAAAACAAATTCATCATGTTACAATGTGAATATTCCTTGTATATACACAATAACATTTCTGCAAAAAATAATAATACCGTACCTTCAGCCCAAGATGGAATTGCTTTCCTGGGTGCAGTTTCGTCATCCGTGGAATCATCACTGTTCTGGTCCATGCCATAGTCCTCTGGGTTTTTGGAAGAAATCTTGTTTCCCCCTTTTGGTGTAATTGAGTAGGATTGTGGAGATCTCTGGAGGGGATTAGTAGTACAAATTTAGAAAAAAAGGCTCAAAAGAAAGGTAATGGCAGCACATTTACAAACCTCAATATCCACAGTCACATTGAGCCCGCCGCCGGCTCCTTTACCAACAGGTGTGCACAGGACAGAACGCTGCAAGAGAAAGGTGTTAAAGATCACTGTACAGCTACTGTAGAAAGAAACAGAGCAATCCTGGAGTCTCAAGAGTTGTCCACACAATAAATTGACCGAAGCGACCCCTTTTCTTTGGTATTAGATGTACAGGTAGGATTGCAATACTCGTACATGGCTGTGTGGCCCAGAGCCTTCACCATTTACAGGTTTTCATTTTATAGAAATTCCAAGTGGGGAAACACTACTTTGTTTTGAATAGAATGTGTGGCACCATATAAGGAATTTAAAAAAAGGTCTCTTTACATTGAAAAGGCTCCTCCAATTAGGCTTAATACACACAATAAATCTTCTAGTGCTATAGAGTGCTCTTCTGTCACCCCTGAACACTAGAATCCCGTTCATCCTGCAGAAAGCTAATCTACATTTTCAATATGGGACTCGCCAGATCAGCATGGACAAAATGTGCCATTTTGTAAGACGACAGTTGAATATAAAGCTTGATTGTAAAGGTTGGCAAAAAGAAATTAAAGGCAAGTGCATTATCACTGCTCCCCCTTTCTCCCATTGTCCACCGGTGTCCCACAAGGTTCCGTTTTAGGCCCACTACTCTTTTCACTTTACATCAACGACCTTCCATCAGTGTGCCCGCATGCAAATGTTCAAATGTACGCAGATGATACAGTAATTTACATACACGCCAAAAACCCCACACAAGCTGCCGACAAACTATCACAGTCTATGGTTCATGTCACAAATTGGTTAAATCAGTGCTGCCTAAAGCTCAATGTCAATAAAACGGTTGGTATGTTCTTCTCAAAATCCAACACCTCATATGATAACATCAATATCTCAGTTTCCGGTCAAAAAATTCAAATCGTGACAGAATACAAATATCTGGGAGTAACAATAGACTCAAAGCTGACATTCAAATCCCACATAAAAAACATTTCCAATAAAGTCAAATTCAACCTAGCTAATTTCCGGTTCATCAGATCCAACTTATCACTTCAGTCCGCAAGATTATTCATGTTTTCTATGGTTCTGTCTCACATTACATACTGCTTAACCACATGGTCACAGGCAAACAAAACATCCCTAAAACCAATAGAATCCTTATACAAGCAAACACTCAAGATACTGGACAAAAAAACCACAAAGATTTCACCACTGTTCCATTTTACAAAAACACCATCTTCTAAATTGGACAAATGTCATCAAATACTCTAATCTCTGTCTCATTTACAAGATCATTCATGGTTCATCTTCACCTCCTCTCAATCAATTTATCACAGTCAGGAACACCACACACAGGGTAACCAGGGGGGCCGCCCGTGGGGACTGTGTTATCCCACTCCGGAAGAGCGCCTTCAGCCAGAGTGCCTTCTCTGTGAGGGCGTCTCAGGAGTGGAACACAGTCCCATCAAACATCAGAGAACTGGCCTCATACAATCTGTTCAAAACTCATCTCAAATCATGGTTCATTACAAAACAGTCCTGTCAACACTAACTTTTAACTAATTGTATATATGGTAAATGTACACTGTTTTTATCATTGTTGTTTTGTATACAAGTGTTGTGTTTGCTTTTAGGTTGACATTTTAAATCTGTCCAGGGACAACGGATGGAAAATAGCCTTGTGGCTAATTCTGGTACATTTACAGTAATGTTCATTAATGTACACTGTCCCTGTCAAATAAACTAATAAATAAAATAAAATAAATACAGTTTGCCTCAACAGTCAAAGCCTTGTCCTACCTCAATATCCACAGTGAGATTAAGAGCAGGTGCAGCCTGGAGAAAACATGATGGTGATGATGTGAAATCACATTATATAAATATATCAGAATATTAAACTCTTGAAGTACTGACCTGCTTTTCAGCAGCTTGTCTTTCTTTAGCAGCTTTTTCTGCAGCCATCCGCTGTTCCTGCTGTAGGCCGTTTATATTGCATTAGGTACAACATATGTAAAATTAAAATCACAGTGAAAGTGTTAATGCTTTACCTGTTTCCGGTTTTCCTCAATAGCCTTCCGCAGGTCGAGTTCTCTCTGCTCCTTCTCTCTCGCAGCCCTCTCCAGCTCACGCTGCAGTGCCTCCTTCTCAAGTCTTTCCCTGATCAAAGTTGAAACATGAACTTGCTAGTATAATATGTGCTGAAGTAAAAATCTAGTCCAAACCACAAACCTCTCAGCCTGTCTTTCTCGTACTCGCTGGAGCTCAGCCAGTCTCTGCGCCTCAGCCAGTCTCTGCGCCTCAGCCAGTCTCTGCGCCTCAGCCAGTCTCTGCGCCTCAGCCAGTCTCTGCGCCTCAGCCAGTCTCTGCGCCTCCTCCTCCATCGCCTTCTTAGCCAACAGCTCTTGCTGCCGCTTCTCCTCCTCCTACAGAGAACATGCAACGGTGTAAAATGCAGTGTTCCCATGTACAGTGCCTTGCGAAAGTATTCGGCCCCCTTGAACCTTTCAACATTTCGCCACATTTCAGGCTTCAAACATAAAGATATAAAATTTTAATTTTTTGTCATGAATCAACAACAAGTGGGACACAATCATGAAGTGGAACGAAATTTATTGGATAATTTAAACTTTTTTAACAAATAAACTGAAAAGTGGGGCGTGCAATATTATTAGGCCCCCTTACTTTCAGTGCAGCAAACTCACTCCAGAAGTTCAGTGAGGATCTTTGATCCAATGTTGTCCTAAATGACTGATGATAAATAGAATGCACCTGTGTGTAATCAAGTCTCCGTATAAATGCACCTGCTCTTTGATAGTCTCAGGGTTCTGTTTAAAGCGCAGAGAGAACCATGAAGACAAAGGAAAACACCAGGCAGGTCCGAGATACTGTTGTGGAGAAGTTTAAAGCCGGATTTGGATACAAAAAGATTTCCCAAGCTTTAAACATCTCAAGGAGCAATGTGCAAGCAATTATATTGAAATGGAAGGAGTATCAGACCACTGCAAATCTACCAAGACCCGGTCGTCCCTCCAAACTTTCATTTCAAACAAGGAGAAGACTGATCAGAGATGCGGAGAAGACTGATCAGAGATTCAGACAAGAGGCCCATGATCACTCTGGATGAACTGCAGATAACTACAGCTGAGGTGGGAGAGTCTGTCCATAGGACAACAATCAGGTCGTGCACTGCACAAATCTGGCCTTTATGGAAGAGTGGCAAGAAGAAAGCCATTTCTCAAAGATATCCATAAAAAGTCTTGTTTAAAGTTTGCCACAATCCACCTGGGAGACACACCAAACATGTGGAAGAAGGTGCTCTGGTCAGATGAAACCAAAATCTAACTTTTTGGCTACAATGCAAAACGATATGTTTGGCGTAAAAGCAACACAGCTCATCACCCTGAACACACCATCCCCACTGTCAAACATGGTGGTGGCAGCATCATGGTTTGGGCCTGCTTTTCTTCAGCAGGGACAGGGAAGATGGCTAAAATTGATGGGAAGATGGATGGAGCCAAATACAGGACCATTCTGGAAGAAAACCTGTTGGAGTCTGCAAAAGACCTGAGACTGGGACGGAGATTTATCTTCCAACAGGACAATGATCCAAAACATAAAGCCAAATCTACAATGGAATGGTTCACAAATAGACGTATCCAGGTGTTAGAATGGCCAAGTCAAAGTCCAGACCTGAATCCAATCGAATCTGTGGAAAGAGCTGAAGACTACTGTTCACAAACGCTCTCGATCCAACCTCACTGAGCTCGAGCTGTTTTGCAAGGAAGAATGGGAAAGAATTCCAGTCTCTCTATGTGCAAAACTGATAGACATACCCCAAGCGACTTGCAGCTGTAATTGCAGCAAAAGGTGGTGCTACAAAGTATTAGCGCAAGGGGGCCGAATAATATTGCACGCCCCACTTCAGTTTTTTATGTTTAAATTATCCAATACATTTCGTTCCACTTGTTGATTAACCAAAAAATAAAATTTTATATCTATGTTTGACGCCTGAAATGTGGCGAAATGTTGAAAGGTTCAAGGGGGCCGAATACTTTTGCAAGGCACTGTATTTGGATGAACAAATGTTGAATTTGCAAACCTGTTGAAGCTTTCTCCTTTTTGCCTCTTCCTCCTGCTTCTTTTTCAGCTCAAGCTCCTCTTGACGTTTCACTGCCAACTTTTTCTTCTTTTCGTCTATAAAACGCTGCTCATTCCAAAACAAATGAGTGTTTACTTCTTGTACAATTGTCTTCTCAGAGTTTGTCGACCCTTTTCTTTACCTTATCATTTTTCTCATCGATGTGAGCCATCTTTAGCTCAATCTTCTTCTTTTTCTCCTCCTCTTTCTGATCTTCTTTGGATTTGGCTTCAAACACTCGCCGCAGTCGTTCATCCCTCTTCCTGAAAGTAGGATATTTGTCACAAACCTCTTTGAACATCGTTGTTCCAAAATCATGAACCATTAAATGAGTCATACTTTTTCAGTTCTTCCTGTTTTTTCCTTTTATCCTCCTCCATTTTCTTCATTCTTTCAATTTCTTGTTCCTGTTTCTTTTTGAGGGCTTCCAGTTTGTAGCGCTCCTTTGTCTGTAAAAAATAAAATCATGTTAAGAATAATCTAGGTTTAGAACGACGCACAACCAGAATATAAGCACCTGTGTCAATATAAGGGTTAAGAATGCACTAAGTGAAAGAAAAGCCCACAACATTTATAGTTACGCAGAGCAGACGTTTTACAGTGATTCATGTATGAAGAGAACCAAACAAACAAGAATATTAGATGCAGATCATTAGTGGTTCAGTGAATAGTGAGACCGATGAAGCCATTGTTGTGTGTCATTAAAATTTTTTGGGGGGGACACAAACACATGGAAGAACATACTATACCTACAGATGGGGAGAAAGTCAACTAGCACTTACCACTATACTACCGCTCGTCTAAAAGAGGGGACAAAGAAGGGATGTGCATATTAGCATCATCACCATATTTCCCACAAATATCACAAAGCCAGGATTCAGACATTCAGTATGAGGGGAACTCAAGTGTAACCCTATATCTATCTATATATTACACACTGCTATAGATTCAGATTATTTGCCATTTGCAGTAAAAAAAAAAACCACATTCAAACTATAACTCAAATTATAGTCACTTATATTTGTATTGTACATAACAAATCTTGCAAAGAGACTATTTTAACCTTTTTAACATGTTGCACACTGTCTTTATGCACAACCCGAGTGATCCCATCTATGCCAATGTGCCATTACATTTCTCAATTGTGAGATCACTAAAGCTTATCTTATACATAATCACACACACACACACACGATTTGCTAAACGGGTGATTAAACTGCTAAATTATTACAAAGGAGAAAAATTAACTAGTATCACCTTTGGATCCATCCTGAGAGGGGTTGTGTTTTTGATGAAGGACTTCAAAACAGTAGCCCGACCAAGAGAGTTTGGAGTCATCATTAACATCTGGTTCTTATGAACAGTGTGTAGGAAAGACTTCATGTTTGGTCTGAGTGCCTACAAAAAAACAATTCAAAAACAAGTTTGAATCATTGTTATAAATGGGTATGCAAAAGATGAAGTGCTGTTCGTACACTCTGGCTCTTCTTGGGAGCGGAGGCCCCCTTGTTTGGGCTTTCCACATCAGGAGCCTTCCTTTTTGTACTTGAACTAGAACCGACATAAAAAAAAAACCAAGTCAATAACAATATAATGCAATAATAATGTCCACAAGTGAGCAGGCACCACACTCACCGGCGATTTGACGGGGTTTTCTTCTCCGCAGTCACTGAAATAAGTGTAAAAACACATTAGCGAATCGCTCATGTTTATATTTTTGACCATTGAATAAGTTTGTACCTGGACGCCTGTTTGGAGTGCTAACTGCGGCGAGCGACAGAGGTGCTGCTCTTGAAGAATGGGCAGCAATGGACCGGGTTACGCGCCCAAGAGTCTCAACTGGAGGGAGTTCCATCTCCGTAGCACAAACCTGGAATTCAATGGCGTGAGGATTATATACTCAAACAATATCTTTTAAAAAGCACACAATAAAAGTACACACCATTTCCACAGTGGTTTTATCTGGTACAGTGTTTTCTTTTGGCTGTTCGTTTACGACAGCAGCAGCAACAACAGGTTCTGTGGGTTCTGGTAATGCCATACTGCAAACAAACATTTTTAAAATCTTTTTACATCAAATATAAATTAACCAGTAAGAGCTGTACTTACGGCGGAGCTTCTTCATCCACTGATTCCATACACGAGTCATCTAGAAAAGAGGCAACACTTAAAACACTGAGGATCCTCAAATCTTTAGTAATGCAGACCTCTGTAAAGCAGACTTACCATCAACGTTGCTGTCACAGGAAGAGTTGCCCACGCGAGACACTTTCCTTTTCAGCATGGATCTTCGCGAAGCACGTCTTATGGACTCCCGAGTCATGCTGTGCCTCAAACCAGCCACAGAGCGCCGCAGTTTTAGTGAAGGCCGCACTGAATTCCTGCAAGGTTTGTCATTCACAGTGTGCTCCATTACTTCTGTTAAATCGTCTGCTTGTCCAGGAGAGGTCTTTGCCCTCACAACTATCTCAGCGGACAAACGGTCCGTTGGAGAAAGAGAAACTACTACATTTGGAGAAGGAATATTTTTGGGAAGCTCAGTCTTGACGGACATTTCTTCTTTAATATTTTGACCCTTTTGCTCAGGTTCATCCAGGTCCAAGATTTCTATCAGATCCGTCTTCACACTTGTGTCCTCAGAATGAGTACTGCTCGGACTAATCTGGTCTTCTGGTAAACCCTCTTCCTGAGCCTTTGTTTGCTTTTTGCGAGTTGCCCGCTTTGGGCGTGTGTTTTCTGTCTTGGCGTTGGATGTCAGGGATGCAGCCTTCTCCTCAGTGATACTGTTCAAAGCACTTGATGAAGATCCACGGAGGTTGCTGCGTCGACCCTTTGAAAACCTTCTATTAGATTGGCCGTCTTCCTGGCGTCCTAAAGAAACACGTTTCCTGCGTGTATTCTTTTTTTGTGAGGGAGTTTTTGGCATGAGCTCTGGTTCTGCATTAAAATCTCTGATAACAAAAACAGCAAACATTAGTAATAGATTAAAAAGTACACGATAGTTGCATTGTAGGGAGAGTCACAAATTCGCTTTACAACTGTGAATATTAGGATTAGTATTTATTCACTCCATATGGTGGTGGAAAGCTCACCTTGTAAACATGCGATTGGCCTCTTGTTGAATCTCCTCAAGCCATACCATGTGAACATTATCAATTTCACTGATAAAAGCTTGGGCTTTGTCCTCAAACATGTGCATCAGTGACCGAATAGGAAACAACACAGAGTTCATGGTTAAAGCCTGGTAACAAAATAGACACAGAGTTAATGAGACATAATAGTTTTTCAGAACATTGTAAAAGTTTTTAATCGTTCAGTAAATTGTATTTCATATAACACCATTCATCAGACATGTCATTGACATTCACGATACCGGACAAGTAACGTATTGTGTATCAAGAGGAGACAGTAAACATGCATGGTTTTGGCCATTTTACCAACCTGGCTCAAGGCCTACTACAACACAAACTACTGCATGGGGAAAATACCATAACCAGGTAGGGGTGGGCGATATGGACAAAAATAAAGATCTCGATATTTTTTCCAACTCCCGATAACAATATTGTCACAATATCTTTAAAATCAATAATTTTTACAAAATGATCTGCAATGTTTTACTGCCAGGGCATCTATAGATAGAGACAGTGTAGATCTAAATAGAACCTACACACTTCTTTGAAAAACATGCACAAACATATTAACATTAAACATCAAATTCAAGTAACACAGAAAGAACACATCCAAAAAGACTAGCTCAATATTTATTGAAATGTACAAATAAAGCAGTGATAGGCTTTTTAGGCACACATTAGACCAAATGGGCATCTGTCCTTCTCTAACTGTAATATGTATGTAAAAAGAAAAAGGACGATAATACAAAAAGGCATATCTTCAAGTTGACTTTCACGATATTATTGTCTACGATGTATTTTGCCCACTCCTACAACCAGGTCGGGCCGATTAAGATTATTTATTTTAACAAACAATAATAACAAACAAATGCCGTGAATTGCCTGCCATGAGGAGCCTCCCACAACAGGCAGGGGAGGGCCGTGACAGCCATTTAATGTCATATTTATATACGACATAAAATAAAATTTCAGCGAAGGAGCGAGGAGACTCAAAAAGGCTTTGCCTTTGACTTGGGTTTCCCCGGAAACAAGTCGCTTACAACACTAAATGAACAGCTACGTCAGTATAAACAAAGTTTACAAGTTAGATATATAATACATCCAAAGTCTCATCACTGTGTCACTTAGCGAAGCTTATACAACACATGTCTAGCAACTGATCCCACTAGCCTAGAGAGCTAGCTTTAGCTAGTTTAACCAAATAAAGACAACATAAATAAAATTAGCTTACCATGGTCGGTAGACTTCCAAATATATCCAAGTAACCGATACTCTATTAACTAAAAAAGCTTAAAGCGCGTCCTGACATTAAAACGATCTGAAAAAGGCTCTCTTAGAGCATGAGAACCAGAACTTATTGTGGTCTAAACACTCTGATAGAGCCGCAGCTCAGCGATGCCCGCGGAAACCGTTTGACGGATTTAAAACTCACACAGCCAATCAGAGCAGTCACAAACTCACGCAGACGTGATGCGCTCGGTTTGATGTTCACACACTCAGAAGAAGAGGGGCGGTACTTAATTCTCTATTCACATGGCTCCGATGTCAAACAATGGGGTAGAAATCAAGCGTAACAAGGTTAGTTTGAAGCTGGGCGTGAAAGCTACGAAAGTTTAAACTGACCAACTGCACTCGAGCATGAGGTTCACTGGCCCGCCCACATTCACCCACAACAAAGATGGCCGCCGTACTTTGTTTTAAAATGTAAATGTAATGATCTAGAATAACAAGTAACGTGCTTGCTGTGTTTTTGTCAGTAAAATATTGCTGTTATTTATCTCAAACATGAGTTGATCCCGTTTTTTGTCGTTTGTATACAACTGTTTAAAATAACCAACTATTAACGACGTGTTGTGTAAATAACAGACTGTTGTAAAAAACCATTGTTGGAGCCTAAATAGAGGTTTAGTTGTTTTTATTTTATTTTGATACATTACTATTTTGTTTGTATTATTATTTGATTGAAATACATTATTTTAGTGATTTAGATAAGAATTATGATTATTTGGCAATTTATTTAATTTGGTATGATTTACATCTAATTTAGTTAACTATTTTGTTAGTCATTATTGCTAAAGTTAAGCATGGATTTATTTTGATTTAATATATATTTAGTATTTTTTTCTCAGTCCTGGCCCCAGGCTAGTTAAGGCGCAGGTGTGCCAGGGAAAGCATAGAGTGTGGAGTGGAGCCACAGTTTTTTGACCTCTCTTTACTCTCTCCTCGTCCTTCAAGTCATTTTATTTTTGTCCAGTATGTGTGTTTTTGTTTGTGAATAGTACTCAGTAAAGAGATTTTTATTTCATTTTACTGTCCCATGGATTTTATTCACTCCATATGTTTTGTATTTATATATAGGCGAAATAAATTACTTTTTAAACTCTTTGTTATTTTTAATGAAGTCTTTGATATTGTGGAAAAGGGAAACAAGTCTAGAACCTGTTTGTAGTTCATATTCAGGGCAACAGTAGCTCAGTTGGAAAAGCATTGAACTTTGAGCTAGAAGGTCGTGGGTTTGAGCCCACCTCAAGACTTTCACCATCGACTCCCACTGATATCTGCTGTCGTTATGCCAAGGACACGACGCTTAACCTCTGGTAACACCTGATTCCACAGTGCGGCGGCCTAGAATGAGTCTGGTGTGTGTATAAATGGTTGGTGGTGGTTGGAGGGGCCTATGGCACATACTGGTTGCTTCTGTCAGTGTGGCTACAGAAGTAGTTTATCACCAGTGTGTATGTAGTGATTGCATAATGACTGAGTGTCCAAAAAAGCTCTGTATAAAACCGATGCATTATCATATTGCAAGATTTCAACTTCTTTATATAAATAAACATTACTTATATTTGTGATGGTAAGTACCTAGGTATTTTTACTAGTGCAGCTTCAGCAACAGACTGATCCTCCCTCACTGTGTGAAGAAGTTTTCCAAGTTGTTTCTCCTGCTGCTGTCCGACTGGACAACGAGAATTGAATCTGCCATTCCCTCTATATTGACAATTCACTAGTCACTTTTATTTATTCTGGCCGTATTCTCTGCTTCGACAGTACACTATTAACCATTTTTACATATGAAACTTGATGCTGCTAACTAGTGTATACTCCACATACGTTTATTATTTTAAACAATAGATCATATTGGACAAAAGATTTCAGTACTCTATAGTTTGTTAGCTGTGTGTGGATGTTTTTTGTATTATTTTTGTTATACATAAAAGTAAAAACCATACATCATATTACAGAAAACACAGAGCATCCATATTTATGTAAACATCAGGTTTGAATAATGACAGTCTATGGTTTAAACTGTCATTATAAGCTTGACTATATTCTCATTGCTTCTTGCACTTGTCTCTGAAAAGTCTCAATGAAAAGGTCAATCTTTCCATGTAAATCTTCTGGATTATTTGAGTCCAGTCTGTGAGAACGGGGGCAACTTCACAAACCATTTGCATGATATGGCTTTCATTGCTCCCGCTTTAGAAATGACAAGAGATAGTCAGATTTTCGCATGGCATGTGTAAGGTTACCCAAAATAGACATCCTTCACTCCGGATTCTTCTTATCTCCAAACAAAATGAGGGAAATCGTCCATATCCAGGCGGGCCAGTGTGGCAACCAGATTGGTGCCAAGGTCGGTGACTATTCATTCATTGTATTTTTATTTATTTTTTTATCACCTCTAGCCTCTGAACCCTGGTACGATGTTTGCAAAGTCCCAGAAAATGTGGAAAATACCACACTTGTTTGAGTCATGGCACTGCTTATATACAGTCTATGCTTTTGACATGGAGTGACACAAAAAAGAAGAAAAAAATACCTAAGAAAAATCCTGGATGAGAGAAAAATTCATGAATGCCACAAAATAAGTCCGTGAACGTGAATTAGGCCTTTGCTGCGTTCATGATTTTTTCTCTCGCCTCCTCTGTGTGTACGTTTAGCACCGTGTTTTGTACCAACAACTATTACTGCTAAAAATGTTTTATCTTTCTTGAGTTTTTCTTCCAAAACATATGTACGAAATAACGAAAACAGGCATATTTGTATACTGTCTATGGTAATACTCATATAAGATCCATGGCCCAAGTCCACGCTAGTCATCTGAGCAAACCTTTGCACATGATGATTTGATTGGTCACTTTATATGTCTGTCAAAAATGATGCTGTTATTGTCCAATGAAAATGCGATATGTTTTTCTATGGGCGGGCTTCAGTGCCATATAAATTTCCCGCACGACATCCGCGAGTGCGCCGACAGTAACCGTTGTAAACGAATAAAGTTCTTCACTCCGGATTCTTCTTATCTCCAAACAAAATGAGGGAAATCGTCCATATCCAGGCGGGCCAGTGTGGCAACCAGATTGGTGCCAAGGTCGGTGACTATTCATTCATAGTATTTTTATTTATTTTTTAATTTAAACTTTTAATTTGTTTCTGTGGCCCTTTTGTGCCATGACGTCTTATCCAGACTATTTTCTGAAGCAAATACAAAGTTAATGAGCTTGAATGGTGTCGGAAAATGTCCTTTTCTGTAGATGTTTAGCTGTTAGCTGTTTTATAATATCGAGTTTTTGAATAACGGATGTCTCGCGCCCCTTTGCTTCTGTTAACGTTTCCTCAAATACCGTCATATATCGTCACCATCTGAACCTTATGGACGGTGTGATAATCGGATTACATATTTAGCGATGGTTTAAAACAGTTTTCTGGGTTATTTTACTGTAATAAATACTGTTTTTCTACTGCTCGGGTTTGAGCGCCAAAGCCGCCGCGCGCTCCTGCTGTCACAGTAAAAGCGCTTGCGCAGTTTGAACAGATGTTTATTGTTTTTTTGTCTGTTTGTTTGTTTTTTAGTTCTGGGAGGTGATCAGTGACGAGCACGGCATTGATGCCACTGGGTCTTACAATGGCGACAGTGACTTGCAGCTGGACAGGATCAACGTCTACTACAACGAAGCCACTGGTAAAGTCTGAACCAAATTAGTATAATATATTAGGACTCACTAAAATGTAGGCATTTCGTCACTGTGGTACCCACTGCTCCTGACAGATACTAGTAGTATTCAGGGTCAAATGCAGACGCATATTTCCCTACAGGGACATGGAATTAGGAACAGTTTAGATAAGGTAAACCCACCTGGGGGCGAAATGCCAAGAATGTAGAGTCCCATCCTGAATTTGAAGCGCTGTGATGTAATGCCTGATGTGTCCACAGGGGGCAAATATGTACCTCGTGCTATACTGGTGGATCTGGAGCCTGGGACTATGGACTCTGTGAGGTCTGGGCCGTTTGGCCAAGTGTTCAGGCCTGACAACTTTGTGTTTGGTAAGAGAGGTGTGAAGCATTTGAATGGTCCAATGTGGCGCGTGCAGCTGTAAAGCAGTGGGTATAATTCCAGGTCAAAGCGGAGCGGGAAACAATTGGGCCAAGGGCCACTACACGGAGGGAGCGGAGCTGTCGGATTCGGTTCTGGACGTGGTCCGTAAGGAGGCGGAGAGCTGCGACTGTCTGCAGGGTTTCCAGCTCATTCACTCCCTGGGCGGAGGCACAGGCTCGGGTATGGGCACTCTGCTCATCAGCAAGATCCGCGAAGAATACCCTGACCGCATCATGAACACGTTCAGCGTGGTGCCTTCTCCCAAAGTGTCGGACACGGTGGTGGAGCCGTACAACGCCACTCTGTCGGTGCACCAGCTGGTGGAGAACACAGACGAGACCTTCTGCATCGACAACGAGGCTCTGTACGACATCTGCTTCCGGACGCTGAAGCTGACCACGCCCACGTACGGCGACCTGAACCACCTGGTGTCGGCCACCATGAGCGGAGTGACCACCTGCCTGCGCTTCCCCGGCCAGCTGAACGCGGACCTGCGCAAGCTAGCGGTGAACATGGTGCCCTTCCCGCGGCTTCACTTCTTCATACCCGGCTTCGCTCCTCTGACCAGCAGGGGGAGCCAGCAGTACAGGGCCCTGACGGTCCCCGAGCTGACGCAGCAGATGTTTGACTCCAAGAACATGATGGCGGCGTGCGACCCGCGTCACGGGCGCTACTTGGCGGTGGCGGCCATCTTCAGAGGGCGCATGTCCATGAAGGAGGTGGACGAACAGATGCTGAACATTCAGAACAAAAACAGCAGCTACTTTGTGGAGTGGATCCCCAACAACGTGAAGACGGCGGTGTGCGACATTCCTCCTCGAGGTCTGAAGATGTCGGCCACCTTCATCGGAAACAGCACGGCCATCCAGGAACTGTTCAAACGCATCTCGGAACAGTTCACCGCCATGTTCCGCAGAAAGGCTTTCCTCCACTGGTACACGGGGGAAGGGATGGACGAGATGGAATTCACCGAAGCGGAGAGCAACATGAACGACCTGGTGTCCGAATACCAGCAGTACCAGGACGCTACTGCTGAGGAGGAGGGAGAGTTTGATGAGGAGGGGGAGGAGGAGCTGGCCTGAAGAGGGAGGAGAAGAAGAGAGAAAGGAGGAGGAGGAGGTCTGGACTGTTCCAATCGTTTGGGTTAGGACTGTTCCTGGTTTGTTATTGTTTCTTCTTAAATTTTTTGACTGTTTTCTGCGGTTAAACAGTGACTGCTGCAAACTGTTTTCTTTTATATTTGTTTTAATTAAATAATTAATATTTAATGTGACTTTTTCAATGTTCTGTTAATAAAAAGTCATAAAACAAAGTTGTGACTGGTTGGTTATTTGTATTTTATTTTATTGCAACACTCTGTCCAGCAGATGGCGTCAGCGCTTTACTGAACAAGGATCGAAACTAGAGCTGTTTTGCACTTTTTTAGTTTAATATATATTTTTAATATTTATATTTCATACTGACAGAATAGAACAAAAGAATCGACTAGAGTCAAATTGAAGCGTCGCTAATGGTACCACAAGCATGACTAACTTGGCCTGGTTGTACCCATAGACTGTATATATTAATGGACAGAGTCACGCCTATCTCCGCCGTTCATAGGAGTTGGCCATGAAAAGCATAGCCATATATAGAATAGACGCCGCATTGGTTGCTCGGGCACGAGAAATACGGCCGCCATCTTGGACCGGTCATCCTACAGCGCGATGCCTGAACACTGCGGTATGGCTGTCAAAATAGGCGGACTATTCAAAACAGGGCTCGTGGGATTACTTTTCACAAGTAATATTTAACATTATTATTGGTTGTACTAGTTTGTTAGTGGAATATTACTGAATTGTATTTATGTCACCAACGAAATCAGATACAGAACATCTATTGAATAGCAAACAAGCTAACTTACAGCAGCTTTGGTTCATTATCAAAATGCGAGTTTTGTTGAAGAGATGTTCTATATTTGAAGGAGGAAAATGGGAAGAAGTAATTAGGAATAATAGGAATTATGGTAATATATTTTTTGTTGTTGTTGTTTTATTCATGTATTTGCATTTTGAAGGTTTCCCAGAGATAGAAATGGTAGGAAGAAGTGGGAAGTGGCTATGAGGAGGGAAAGATTCACTGCAAGTGATTCATCCGTGCTTTGCAGTGAGCATTTTAAGCAGGAAGATTTGGACAGGACAGGTCAGATTATCCGACTCAGAGATGGTGTTGTTCCATCCATCTTCAGCTTCCCGGTTCATCTCCAAAGAGTAGGTTTATCACCATAAGGCTGTCAGCACTAATATATTCTATTCTATTATATAATATATATGTTATAATAACATATTACAAATATATATATAATTTCTTTTCAAGTACTATGTTTCTCCATTTTAGCCAGAAAAGGGCAGGACTACGTCTACCTCCAGAAGAGCTGAAGATAGCCTGTCTGTGGCCTTTCAGGAGGCCCCAAAAGCTGAAACCTCACAACCACAGCCAAATGAAGTGAGTATTAAAAAATGACAATATCAGCTTTGAAAGATGATAACTATAAGAAATAATGTGGGTCATATACTCTAGTGGTGTCAAACTGGCGTGTGTTCAGATTCTAGGATCATGAATATGCCTTGCCTGCTTCTCCTACCTCTCTTAAGGCCAGACTCAATGAAGCTTTAGCAAGGGTGGAATTAAGTCTGGAACGACAGAGGAAGAACTCCATGGCTAGAGAAAAAAGGGCAAAGACCACTGTAAAGAGTCTTTTGGGAGATTTGAGGGATAATTCCCTTATTAATGAAGAGCTCAAAGAGAGGCTTGAATTTTACTCGGGTAAGACAAAAATAGCACTTTGAAATGCATCTACATCTAACTTATTCTTATTAAAATCCTTGCTGTTATCTGAAGGAGACTTATTAATTTTTGCTCATAAAATTTCAGATCTTCAGATAGACTTTATGGAAAAGCAGGGACATGAGTACTCAAAGGCCTGCAGAGAGTTTGCCCTCACACTCCATCTGCATGGTCCAAAGGCATACAAATACCTGAGAGAGACTCGACATTTTCCCTTCCCTCATTCACACACATTACAAAGGTAGTCTCAATATTGTCTTTCATTTTTTGAAATTACTGATACAAATATTTTAAATAGCTATTTCTCTTTTTTTCTTTTCTTTTTGTTTTTACAGGTGGCTTTGTTCAGTGGATGGCAAGCCAGGCTTGAATCAAATGATGCTGGACATGCTGGAGAGGAATGTCGGGAAAGATCAGGCTAAATACGGACGCGTAGCACTCATGTTGGATGGCATGGCCATCAAAAAACTTGTTCAATATAATCCACATACCCAGTCAATGTCTGGCTTTGTAGACCTGGGTGATGGAAACAGCGAGACTGAGGTTGCCACTGAGGCTCTTGTGTTCATGGTGGTTGGACTACAAGGACATTGGAAGGCTCCCATTGCATACTACCTGATGAATTCTCTGTCACCAGAAACTCAAAGGGTCCTTCTCAGTCATGCTTTGGAGGAGCTGCATGCACGGGGCATCCAGGTGGTTAGTGTAACAATGGATGGACATGCCTCCAATGTCAGAATGTGTAGTGAACTTGGGTGTGAGCTGAAGGGAAACCCACGAGAGACTGGTGAGAGAGTATTTGTCATTATGGACGCATGTCACATGCTGAAGTTGGCACGTAACATGTTGCAGGTAAATGATGATTGTTGTAGACCTATTTCTACAAGTTATGTCTCTGCTTCTAAAAGTTATATCTAAATATTTTCTGTCATTTTGCTGTTTGTACTTGTTTTAACAGTGACTGATTCTTACTCTACAGGCGTACAGTCCAATAGCAACGACCACTGGACAGATCAATTGGAGGTACATTAACCATCTCAATGATGTGCAAAAAAAGGATGGACTGCATGCTGCCAATAAAATTACAGACAAGCATGTCTACTTTGAGAACCACAAGATGAGGGTATCCCTGGCTTCGCAAACGCTGAGTTGCTCCGTGTCAGTAGCTCTCCTTACAATGAGGCATCTTGGGTACTCTCAGTTTAAAAACTGTGAGGCAACGGTAGAATTCATTGAGGTAATACAGTTATTAATTATCGAATCAAGTACCGGTACATGTTTTTGATGATAATTCATCAAATGTGATCTAAGCATCAAGAACAATTAATGGATAATTCTGACACTCTAAATTGTGTCAGAATTTGCTGTAGTACCACACAGGTCTACGGAGAGAAGAAAATCAATCCAATATTAAAACTTGCATGTTTACACATTGAACATACAGTTTAGAAATAGCTACTATTATACTAGGTATATTTTGAATAGATGAATATTGATTTCAACTATCTGATACCTAATGAAACATTGTAATGATAATGATTTAGATGCCAATTTGTCTTACTAGATGGTTGACAGGCTGTTCGATATCATGAATGTACGCAATCCTCGTGCCAAAGGATTCAAAGCTCCCTTGGGTGCTTTGAATTGGATGGAGAAGAAAGCTTTTTTGGCAAGAGCCAGGGAGTACTTGCTCACTTTGGTGACAAAAGATGGAACACCTCTTCATCAATCTAAGAGGTCAAATTATTTATTGCATGAAAAGTTCATGACATGAGTTCAATGCTGTTTGCGCATCGAGTTCCTAAGATGCGCTGTTCACTGCATCAGGTTCATATGATGCTACTGTTACAATGGGTTTTCCTGTAATTTTGTCTCTTCAAATTGTTTTGTATTCAGTCCCACACAAGTGTCATACCAGTAAGTATGCAAACATGATGCTCATTTATTTAATTTTTTTTCAATGTTCAGTTGCAACTGTTTTTTGTTGGAATTGTCTTGTATTCAGTGTATTTCAGGTCCCACATGCTTCTAAATGGTATGTATTACACCACATCAAGTTTTTGCAGGTGTCAGAAGGATGGTATGTGCGTTATTATTATGTTCTCTTGCTTCAATGTCTTTCAATCTGCAGTTTTGTTTCTATTTTAATTATCCTATATTCAGTGTTTCTCAGGTATAGATGTTTCTAAATGGTATGTATTACACAAAATGCATGTAGGTGTCAAAATGGTATGTATTGCATGTGTTCTTGTTCACAAGTTTTCCCAGTTCAAGAATTGGTTATTACACATTACTGATGGATATGATGGAAAATTCACTTTACTGCTTTGAATGAACATGAATGTTTTGCCATGATCAGCAGAATCATTTTTTTTTCTTTTGCAGATATTTGTCTGTCATTGGCTTTGTCATTAACATTGACACGTTGATGGTGATGATTCCTGAACTGCTCCAAATTCAGCAGTATGTCCTCACCTACAGGTTCAGCCAGGATCACTTGGAGCTCCTTTTTAATTCAATTAGAGCGTCAGGTAGGGTTGATGTTCTTATAATTACAATAATTCGGAAAAATTACTTGAAGAATATCTTTGTGTGTTATATCTTGTGTGTATTTTGTGCCTGTTTTACATACAAGGTGGCTGGAATAACAATCCGTCTGCACGCCAGTTCCAGGCCATCTTCCGCCATCTGATGGTCCGGTGTGGTGTCTCTCCTAGTGAGACAGGCAATGTGGCAGCCCAAGATGACACTGTGTCCTTGTCTGCATTAGAGATGTCGTCTGCTGAAACTGCTGAAGAGCACCCATCTCCATTTGCCAACATTTCAGCTGTTGTGTGTGACTATAGCTATCTTCCCACTCGGTTTGGAGGTCTGGTGGAAAATTCTCTGGTCTACATAGCAGGATTTGTAGTCCGGCAGATTCTGCGCAAGCTGTCCTGTGATGTTTGCCGTGCGAGCTTGGTCAGAGATGCTGTACCATCATCATTTGATGAGAGCTACCACCTTCTAGCCCTGAAAAACAACGGTGGCCTCGTGATTCCATCACAAGGCACGGTGAAGGTGCTGAGAGCTGCAGAGAGGGTGATTCGCCGAGCTTCAACACTGCAAGCTCCAAAGCTGTCGACAGTCACGCACATTGTCCGGGAGGAGATCGGAACGGAGGATGTTTTCTACTTGGTGAACACATTGAGGAGACACAGTATGGCATCGACAACCATCATTCCAACTTGTTGTCATTGGCTGTGTCTGTATTTCTGAAGATAAGGCTGCACCACATAGCCAAACTCACCTCTCTTGATCTACAGAAAGGAAGCACGAGAAAGAAGCTCTGCAAAACAGTCCTCTTTCAGGGGTTTTAGCTCATGTAACAATTTCATGAGCACATTTGTATGTGTAAATATGGTTTGGTACAGGAGGGTGTCATGTGTTAGTGTTTAACACTTACTATGTCTTTGCTTTGTTCTAGTCACTCATGGTTGTCACTCTTTTTTATTATAACCATATATGTAACCATATAGATATTTCACACACACATATATATATATATATATATATGTATGTATGTATGTGTATATATATATATATGTGTATGTATGTATATATATATATATTATATATATATACATATATATATATACATGTGTGTGTATGTTTCAGTATTTCACTTGTTGAATAAATGTCCCTAACATTTTGTGAGTAGTGTATAGATACAACATTGTGTATTATGCAAAATTCCTGTCATACATCACATATATCATATATCAAAATATTCTATTACTGTTAAACCCACTATGAATATTAACATACGCCAAACCATGTGTCCTGTGTCATAGCTACATGTGTGTGGTTTACAGTAAAAAAAAAAGTGTGAAAATCAGTGAAGTATTCAGCGAGTTATGATTGAACCAATGCCATGTTCATAGGCCGTATAGCAAACAGATAATTGGCAGTCGCTAAGGCATAAAAATATTAGAGATTTCAGTTCAGCAGGTAAAATGTTCCAGAGCTGTGGCTCTTCGACTGCAAACGAAGTCTGACCAAATGATGTTTTACATCTTGCCGGTCTGCAGTGTGTATGGATCAGGAACTGGTGCCCATCGCAGAGGACCAATTTATGAAGATAACCTGCACGATCAGAACTACTGTATTCAGGGGTTCTGTGTAGTGTGTAGAGATGATAGCCATCCTAAACTAGCAAACACAATACAGGTACAGAAGCCAATTATGACAGGTTGAAACAGCTTAGCCCCAATTTTAAGTTCATATTAATAAAAATACATGAAATCAAATGAAGTTTACTACTATTTAGCAATGTTAACAATTCAGATAGCTCATTTGTTTCAAAACTTTGTATACACATTTTTGATATTTGGGTTTATGGACTGACAGATTTATTGCTAGTTAGCATAGACTCATTAGGTCAACCCCCTATAATTATGCAAATAAAAAGCAAACAAATAACTCAGAGACAGTTTTATTAAACTTTGATAACGGTCCTGACATGATTCTGACAAAGCATTCAGTGTAAACAACGTACAGCGATGACAAAGGTCCCGGGATGTACCTGGCTAGCCTTGCGGCAACATAGGCTGATGACGTTATTAGGAGAGAATATTAAACATTTACGAACTAAACATGTCCTGGTGTAAGCCTATAGGGTGTCCACAACAGTGTACATACCACGTTAAAGACTATACAATAGCCAGCCCAGTTAGGGTTATAAAAAAGATATACAGTCTGTTAGTATTAGATAGCAATATGGCCTACGTGCAGGACTGTACAAGGACTCTACAAGGACTCCATGTTATGACTATGATGTGACTGTCTCTTTGTGACACGTATGTCTTTCGATGTGTGACGTGACAATGACTATATAAACTGTGTACTGCCTTTATTCTGTCTGAGAGAAAGAAACAGAGTAAACCAGTGGAACTTGAGAGAAACTTAAATAAACTTCCAGAGTTTGGCACACCACGATCCGTCTCTGTCTGCTGAATCCTGACAGATTTGGTGGAGAATGCGCGGCTCAGTGTGTGCCATTCTCTGGATTGTTTTGAGGGAGTTTGCTCTGTTTCTTTTCCTCGGCGTGAGAGACCGGCATGCTGCGTCTGGGAGCGGAGATTCCAGCAGGCTGGAAGAGCTGTTCCTGGATGCTTCTTGTCGCTTCTGTCACTTTTGTTTTTTTAAATTAAATATTCCGACGCGGAAAAGAGTTGGCAGACCTCTCGGACAGTCCTTGGATCCTGTTTGACAAGAATAAGGTAAGCAGACACCTTTTTAAATGTAAAGTCTGCATAATTGGATACTAGCTAAATTTTGGTCTGTTTTTGAGGTCTGTCGAACTCTCTAAATTGTGTTCAAATAAGTGAAAAGTGTTGGCCATAAGTGAGGATCCATAAAGTGAAAAGTGTTGGCCATAAGTGAGGATCCATAAAGTGAAAAGGCCATAAGTGTATAGGATCCATAAAGTGAAAAGGCCATAAGTGTATAGGATCCATAAAGTGAAAAGGCCATAAGTGTATAGGATCCATAAAGTGAAAAGGCCATAAGTGTATAGGATCCATAAAGTGAAAAGGCCATAAGTGTAGGATCCATAAAGTGTTGGCCATAAGTGAGGATCCATAAAGTGAAAAGTGTTGGCCATTAAAGTGAATAGGATCCATAAAGTGTAAAGGCCATAAAAAGTGTAGGATCCATAAAGTGTAAAGGCCATAAGTGAGGATCCATAAGTGAAACCATGGTGTAAAATTAAAAGTAATTATAAAAAGGGAAACGTGTTAAGGAGGCCTTTGTTACAAAAGCTTTGAAATTGACGAATTTCAGGCTGATAAATGACAAAAGTAAAGAAGCAACAATATTTCAGTGATCACGGTTTAAATTACATACAGAAAAAGGGAGTTTTTGTTTTTTGGCGTGAACAGAGTTCACCGGAGAATGCAGAGTTATATCTAAAGTTGAGCTATGAGAGCTTTCGTGAGTTATTTACATTTTTTGCCGAGTTTTATCTACAGTTAAGCTATGAGAGGGTTGTATCCAACAGTTGTTTTTGTTTTTTAGAAAGAGATTTTGAGTTTAAATTAGTTTGCTACCTCAATAAAATAGAAGCGTAAACGTTAAAGACAAGAGTGCCTTTTGTTGCAAGTGTGGAAAGTGATCACTTCTAGACTTGGATGACAAAAGTATAAACTACAAGTTATATTCGCAAAGTAATCTTGAAAGTTATTCTTCTTTCTGTTTTTGCATTTTTGCTAAAACACTACTTTCTGCCTGTGTGCGTCTCTATCTTGCTGCCGTTGTCAGGGGAAACGGCCCCCTCCTTCGCTGCTCTGGCTCTGAATCAGAGCAAAGCTACTGCTTTAGGATTTCTGGCTTTTCATAGTTGTTATTCCGTTAAATTTGCGAAATTTGCAATTGAACATTGTGTTATGACACAGTTAAACGTTTTTAAACACCATTAGGGAATAGAAGTTTTGAATTAGTATGTTTTTGAAACCCAAAGATTAGTACAAAAAGCTTTGCTTTTCTTTTTAAATCTGCTGCTTATTTCTTAACTTTTTGTGAGTTGTGTTTGTTTTTATTTTAGTTACAAAAGCCGTTTTTCAAACATTTAAATTAGAATCTGTGTTAAAAGTGATTATTGATTATAGACTTCGTCTAAAAAAGAAAGAGGGAATTAGGTTAGCTGTAAAAGTATTATTAAGTTGAACTACCCAATTCACCCAATTCACATTCAAGTGGTGACTTTTGTTTTTGTTTTGACTACACGCCTGACCTTCCTCCTGCTGCTGATGAACACAGCAGAGGAGACTGGCTCTAAAATGTGCTCCAATTCATATTGACTTCATTTGAAAAATGCTGCAATTATTTTAAATTAGTAGAATAGATGCTGAGATAAATGTTCAAGTGTAAAAGGGAAAGTCCATAAAGTGAAACCCAAGAATGCATAGATAATTAAACACACAGTACAAAGGTACATAATACATATTTTAAAGTTTGAAGATTTTTGAGATTTGAGTCTTGTTTTTTATATTAAGAGTTTCTGGTTTTAAAATGTCATCATTAGTAAGATAATAAGTAATCTTTATTTACATAGCGCATGTTGAAAAGCCAAGAGCGCTCCAAAATGGTTTAGACTTCAGAGAGAAAAACAATCTCATTCGCATACTGATATCTATTGTTTTTTTAAATTGGCCGTCTCAAGGATTGTTTTTCAGACTCTGCCACACTGTACGAGAGGTCACTGCTGGACACTGGACACCAAAGCCCACCCAGCCACAGGTCACAGATCAAAGAGCAAAGGGAAATGCCACCTCCTTGCCCCTCCCCACGCCACTGCAGAGCTGAGTGGGTGTGAGAGAGACCGGGGCCATGAAAGAGAGGTATCTGGAGACGTGATGGGTGGAGGCCTCAGGTAGAGACCTGAATGAGAGTTGAGAGTGTGTCCAGTTGGGTTACATCACCACAGTGTGACCTTTGAGACCTACAGGTGGTTCGAGGAGTCTGGAGACACAACCCCAAAATTCACACACACACACACACACACACATACACACATTCATACACTCACACATTCACATTTACATATAGATACATGAAAAAGCAGAACATGAGAAAAAAGCATTTTAAAAGTTTACTCCAATGTAAACACATTTTTAATTGTCTATCACTTGAATCTTTAGTTGAATCAGTATTTTTTGAGACCAGAAATGTTCATTTGAATTCTATATTGTCATGGACATAATTGACCTCTGTCCTGACACTTTTGATTTGTTGATTTTGTGCTGTGTGAAGTAATTACATTGATTAGAATTAGATCTGATAAAAACACAAATTAGAGAAGTAAACTGAATCATTGCGCTTGCTTTTTGTCTGAGGGACATTAGCAACAGCATGAATAGAAATTGTGTTAAAGTAGAATCAAAGTGACTTAACCATAGAGAGTAACTATTGCATTACAAGCTGTGTACAGGAACTGAGACACTGCACCATTGACCAGAAGTGCATCGCAAATGACCTGATGCGCTTCAAGTGAAAAGACTGTATCTGGAGATCTGATGTGAGACCAGAACCATGGCTTGGACCCTACTGATGTCCAAGATGACATCTCTCGAAATATGACCTGACCTGATGACGACTGAGACTCACCCTCAGGGGACCCTGAGGACCTGAGACCCTGAGGACCTGAGGAACTGAGGATCTGAGAGAGAAAAACTGGGGAGTGATGTTTATATTATTGAAATCATACATTGATGAGTGCTAAATGAGAGAGATACTCATGATTCTTTCTTTTGTTTTTGTTTGTCCCTAGCTTCTGGACATCTGATGATCTATTGGACACAGCCATTTGCAGAACAAGAACCAGCCAATGAAAACGTCTATTGCCGATGCTTTTGCTAGAACCAGAACCTGTGACCAAATGCAATATACATGTTAAGTATTCAGACATCTGACAGACAAAAACTTTGACTTTTTTGTCTGGGAGACTGAGCAACTGTTAAAATGTGTTAAAGTGATAAAGTATGAGTATTGTAGCGTTTTATTAGATGTTAAATAGTAGTAAAAGAGTAGAATTTGATTTCCTTTGTTGTTCATAAACACATTTCCACATAAGAGTTAAAATAGTACCATACAATGTTATCCTTTTGATAGATCAGCTAAAATACTAGAATCAGAATAATGTTACAGCCATTAAAAGTGACAGAAGTCACAAACTAGAAATATGCCTTGACTTAAGCTGCAACCGAGCTTTGGAGTCACAATAGTGTAGAAATAGAATTAGATAAATGCATCAACCATAGATGCTTTCAAAAATAGAGAATATTCTTAGCCAGTGCTAATATCAAATGGTAAAGGGACCATTTCACAAGCATTTACTTCAAAAGTAGATAAAGTTACTTACAGTTTTATGTACAGTTTTATTAGATACCTTCAAAATTCACTTGTGTTCAAACATGTTGTTGACAATACAAAAAGTCCATATGAGTGTATGTAGTCTAGATTAATGCCTAGATCAATGAGATAGATTACAACCAACAGAGATTCAAAAGCATTTTGATGTATTTGGGTATAGCCCACTGTCGATTCATCAGAACAGATTAGAGAATCAAACACCATTGTAGACCCCAACCCCAAACCTGCTAAAATAGATTAGCTCTTGTAAGGATAATACTAATTTGATTAATGATGTACATTCATCCCAAATGCCTGAGAGGAGGAAGTGACAGCACTTCCTGGTTCAACAAATGTATTTGGAAAACTGACCGCCATAATAATGTTCATATTAACCATTTGTCTTACTGTGTTCACAGTTTTATTCCTGAGAATGAGAATAGACATGGAGCAAAATCCCACTGATAATAAGCCACTGATAATGAGAGTAAACCACAGAGAGATTTATTAGATTAAAATGTATGTTTAAGAATATGGCTCAATAGAAGCAAATATGCAAACATATTTGTGAATAGATTAGAATAGTTTTAAACTATAGTGAATAGTGAAAGTAAAGTACACAGTCTAAGATTGAAAAGTGAAAATAATACAGTGAAATAAGTGAAGTGTAAACAATTAGCATTAGAATAAAAGTATAGAGTAATAAAAGTGAAATTAGCTTCAAATTTGAGACTCAGCTCGTTTTTGTCTGTGTTTTGACTGAATCTGCTGAGTTCTTGTGTGTCCAATAGTGTTTGTTTGTTTTTATTTTTGATTTGTTTTTTGTTTGTTTATTTACTTTATTTTTGTTTGTTTGTTTTTTCCCAGGATAGAGGATAAAATCCACTGATATTGATTTGATGATTATGAGTAATGCATACATTTTCTTTGTTTTTAATAATTTTTTAAAGTTTTTTTTTTTATTTTTATTTTTCCACTTTATTGATTGATCAAATTGAATGATCACATGTGATTATGTGATCAAAGGGGAGGGTGTTAGTATTAGATAGCAATATGGCCTACGTGCAGGACTGTACAAGGACTCCATGTTATGACTATGATTTGACTGTCTCTTTGTGACACGTATGTCTTTCGATGTGTGACGTGACAATGACTATATAAACTGTGTACTGCCTTTATTCTGTCTGAGAGAAAGAAACAGAGTAAACCAGTGGAACTTGAGAGAAACTTAAATAGACTTCCAGAGTTTGGCACACCACGATCCGTCTCTGTCTGCTAAATCCTAACAAGTCTATGGATTAATCATATGCTTTCCATGCATAAGCATTCCATCTCCAAGCTGCAGTGGGCTGTTTACCTTTCACTGGCCCCGCCCCCAAGCGACAAAAGTATCCACGCGCGCGTAGAAGACATGGCAAAAGTGTTCAACACGCGCAGAACACAGACCACGAGAAGGGAGAGGGCAGGTCACGAGCGCGCACACGCGCGTATTGTGGCTTGTAGTACTGAGTCTGCGCGCGGGTGTGGTGTGAAATATGCTCGTGGAGAGTAGTTTACGTGCGTGTGAATTACATAAAGCTGCGCGTGTATGTTTTAATTGCGCGTGTGGACTTTTGGCGTAAATCTGGCGCCATAGAATGGTTTCTATGTCTCTGGTTTATACCAGTTAATAGTATCAGGAAGTATCAGGAAGTGATTAACGCTGACCACTTCATGTTTTCCTTTCCCAAATCCAATTCATAACATTTTGAAAGTTCACATCCGTTCCCCTCATTCCTGCTCCTTTGCACCAGCCTTGTTCACCCCATTGTCCACTAACACAGCCAGCAGGTCCCCATCCGCCAAGGAGATACCAGAATCATTCGGCGAGTGTGGTTGGTTGCTCTCTTGCTGTGCACTGGAACTTGCATTCACAATATTGCTTAATCCTCCGTTTGCACCCCCATTGCTTGCCCTCATGCTGCCACTAAAACTATTATTAAAATTGTTTGTGCCATTGCAGAGACCACCCGCTGTGCCGGCGCTGTTGCTAAGAGCGGCATTGATACTGCTGGTGCTACTACCGCTTGGATTAGTTGGAACTGTACCACGGGAAGGAGTGGTGAACGAGAACACCCTCTCCCCGTTCGTGATGCGGGCGCTGGAAGGAGCCGTCTGGATGTCCAGCGGCGGGGCACTGTCCAAAGTGAGTCTCGAGGGTGGTCTGCGAGACAATAACCCGTGTCTGATTTTGGAGATGGGGCTAAGTTCTGGGGCGGGGTCAGGAAAGGAGAAGGCCGGACCGCTCGGAACATCGCTGTCCCCACCAAGCCAAGGAAAGGCAGACGACGGAGGTTGCAAGGCGTGGTTGGGCGTGTCCGGAGGTATTTGGTGCAAGCCCATGACGGGAGGTGCGAGAGAGCTGCAGCTGCGATCCCATTCGTTTTGAGGTCTTCTTGCCGGTCTGGGGCGGGTGACGGCGGGAGGCACGCAGTGGATGGGGGTCTGAGGACAGCTGTAAAAACCAGATCGGTCAAAGGGCGGCAAAGCAGAGAAGGTAAAGTCCGACTCTGGGTTGAGAAGGTGGTGGCTCTGGCCTGGGGTGGAGGGGGCGACCGGGTGTAGATACAGAGGGAAGCGGCTTAAGGGAGCCCCGGGACGTCTGCGCAGAAGAGAGACCCGAGAAGAGCGAGGGAAGTTGGGGGTTTGGACTCCGAGCAGGCGACCCAACCCTCCCAATAGTGGGGTGGAGTAGTTGGCCTCTTCGTTCTCCTTAATCTGCTCTAGGTTTGACTGAAACTCCATCTCCTCCTTTGGAATGCTGAGGAATAAAAGGAAAACAAGTTAAATACTAACATTTAAAAAAATATTGATGTTTATTGTTCAAGTCACAAATCCATGTTCATAGTATCATTAAGCTCACACAGTTTAGCACTTTACGGCCTAAGTAAAGTGCTAAACTCCTGAAGGAGGCTTTTTGAGGTTTATTTTTATGGGGCCAACAATTGCCAAAAAGATAAGTCAGAAGCGCCTTCACTCACTGTCTCACCGACTGTGGGGTGTGACATTCATTGACATTGTCTACTTGGAATTAAGTCGACCATGCACGGGAGATCCTCGTGGAAATGTAAGAATGATATTTGTTTGTTTTTAGGTATTTTCATTTGTTTAAAAAAAATTTAGTCAGTAATTGTAAGTAATATATATAATGCTTAATAAGTGATAAAAAGTAGTAATTATAACTGAAATACAGCAAACAAAAACAGAAGGCGTCAAATTGCTTGGGAGTTCTATTATTATTTTCTATAAACACCAGCAGCGTGTTTAGGCTGCACCTGATATCCACAGCGGAGCCCATGAAGGAGGGTTTGCGGTGTTCTGCGCTCGCTGCGGTGTACGGCGGCTCTGGCTCCGACTTGTTCCAGTACATGTCTTTCTCCACCAACGGCAGACTGTCGTACATCTCATCCACCGACAGCAATGACACCTGGAGACACGCAGACAATGAGGCGAGTGGATAGGTCCTGGGTTCGAATCCCGGTCAGAACAGGGTCTTTCTGAGTGGAGTTTGCATGTTCTTCCTGTGTCTGCTCCGGTTTCCTCCAGGTGCTCCGGTTTCCCCTACCACTAAAAACCTGCACTTTACAATAGGTCTGAATGTAATGGTGTTGATTTGGGCTTTGATGCGGCAGTGTGTTTGAGAGAATGGAACAATATCTGAACTCTGAACATTGTAAAGTGCTTTGGCTGACCTTGGTCTGTAAATATGTGCTATATCAATACAGATTACTTACTTACTTACTCCAATGAAAGAAAACAACAATATGAATGGTCTGGGGGACTGACCTGCAAATTCCGGTCTACCACCCAATTGGTCTCAAAGTCATCGTCATCCTCACCAAAAGGATTTATTAGTTGCTCAGCCACCTGTCATAAAACAATTCATTAATCAAGCGCAGATTTGAGCTGGAATAACTGTTCCGCACCTTGAGCCAACCAACATAGAAGAAAAACTGCAGGAGAGTGAAGATGGGGAGATAAAAGTCAATGTCATGACCAGGGTACCCTTGATTCGGATCCAAAAACTGACGGCCAATTAGACAAGCCAGGAAGAAACTGTACACGGCAACTGTAGCCACCTATTCAAACACAACCAAGCATTTGATATTTGCTATGATTCAAGAGACAGCATTGAACAATACCTGGGTATAGACCAGAGGCAGGCTGATCCAGTCATATCCGTACAGCTTCATGCACTTTCCTCGCAAACTATTCAACTCCTGAAAATTGGGAACATTTCAGAACTTTTGCATGTGTTTTACTCCGCAGCAGACGACGGATTACCAACACACCGAGAGGATTGCTGTGAGAGCCACGTCATTGTTGATTCGTCCGTCCGTTCGAGCTCTCAGAGACAGATTAACAAACCACATACAGGGAACCCAGAACTTGTTGTGAGGGGATGGTAGATCGTCCAAATGTCTCAACTCCTCTGAGGTCATCAAACCTTGGGATGAAGATTTTATTTGGTGATAATCCAGGACACTCGACATTCAACATTTATGGACATTGGTCATCCGCCCCAATGGACCAATGGCTTTACGTGTTTTTTCTCATTGCATTCTTGTGTTTGCTTTCTGACTCTGGTCTGTGAAAGACTAAATCACAACAGTAGTTACCTTGGAGGACTTTACACAACCGTTGAAGTCGCTGATCAGAGAATTAAACGATTAAAACACAAGAAATAGAACAGGAAACACATCGGTATTGGTCCATAAATAAAATGTTTAGAAATCGGTTTAGGATTGTATAAAGGTATAAATTGTCACATTTGTTTTACATGTATTGTTTTTGGGGCCCCGCCTATAAGCTAATGTAGCTTCCTGGGAGTTCCCTTTTACAAAACACAAACCAACTTTACAAATCCAATGTGTAAAACTTGTATGACTATGAAGTTTTGTAAATAGATAAAGAAGGAAAGAGGGGCAGATGACCAATGTCCATAAGTGTTGAATTGAACTGAATAGATGTGCCCTTACCTGCCTGGACGAGGTGCTCCATGGTGGGAAACCTCTTGTAAACAGCCGTACTGACAGAGCGGTAGGTCAGAACCCCGGACAGGTTGGCGTATCGCATCAGAGTTCGGCGCGTCAGCTTGGACACCTCGTTGTCTCCACGCACATGTGCACCCACTAACGCGGCCAGCCTGTCCGGCCACGGGATGTTCTCATACTGCCCCCACCAACGGGACACCACCAGGGTCACATAAAATCCTGAGCAAAGACACTCACTTAATGTGGCAGATTGGTTAAGATTAAGATGAAGAGATTCTTTATTCGTCCCACAATAGGGAAAGTTCCAGAACAGTAGGAATGGCCCACAAGTCAAGATAAATAATTCTATACTAAAATAAAATATAATCTCTATATATAGAATAGCATGAAAATGAGCAGCATAAAATCTCTATCTTTAGCAGAATAAGGAAAGAAGTCTAAAATCTCCAACTTTAGCATAATGCAGAAGAAACTATAAAATGCTATATATTCTAGAGCAGGGGTCTCCAACCTTTTTCAATCAGAGACCTACTTTTACTCAAAAGAATAGGCAGAGAGCTACTTCTTTTTGCAGTCGTAATAAAAATCTGATAATTACGACAAAACATGGATAACACATACAAAATAGACCATAATACAATATAACTCTAAATACTTATATTAGATTTGTAATGACTAAAAATGTATTCATTCAAGATCATTTGTTTAATTCTAAGTCCTTTGGCGAGCTACCTGTAAGGGGCTGGCGAGCTACTGGCTGCTCCCGAGCCACAGGTTGGAGACCCCTGTTCTAGTGCAAGTAGTATACAGTTGTGTGTTTACATCTGTACATGTTAGCAGCACGAGGGTCTGGGACATAGTGACTCAGTAAAGTGACAGCAACACACAGATCGGACAGATACAAAAAAAAGTGTGTCCTCTCACCCAGCACGAAGGACACAGGGATGAGCTCTGCATAACGGTCACAGTAAATGGACAGCTTCTCAAACTGCCTCCTTTGGTCATCCGTTAGTAAGTTTCTGCGGGAAAGATAAAGAATATATTACTATCTAGCTACGGTATTACTAAGCTTCCTTTATAGAGCTGCACCTGTAAACCACACTGAAGAAGTAGTAGAGAATTGTGAAGATGATGAGTTCTCGATACAGCAGTTTGTAGATGCTGCCCTTCCAGCGCAGGAGCAGGTGGAAGAACGTCCCCAGACCTGCATCCGCCACTCGCCGGGAGTAAGTCACGGTCATTTCTGCTGCGTTTGACCCAGATCTGGCCTGACGAAGAAAGAAAGAAAGAAAACATGTGGTCAAATTAGTGATTGATGATTGAGATATCTTTGGGGGAGGCCTAACACGTGAACCAAGGATCCTTTTTTGGGAAAGCTTTCAACTCAAGGAACCAAACCAACAGCTATGGCCACATCTGGTATTTAAAGATACAGTATATAAGAGGATTTTCTACTTCCGGGTGGATCATCAAAACTATTGGTCCTCTCAATTGTCAATCATTCTGGTGATATGTGCTCGTCAAATAAGACCAGAGAGTTGTGTTAAAAAAAGTGGAGAAGGCGGTTCTTTCCTAAAATTTGGGAAAATTCACTCCAAAAATGTCACTTTAATTTAGATTCAAAATAAATCATAGGGCCATGTCATGTAAAAACAAGTAGCACATGTTAAATTAATGCATAATGACAGCATAAACACATAAAAATACATACTTATTTTGTATAATTGTATAAATGACCCATAAAGCGCACATTATAACCATAGTTTACAGATATAATTCTATTTTAGCTGACTATACAGAGAGAAAGAGTAACTCGTCTCTTGTACGCGTACTCACATCAGACAGATGACGAGGCGTGTGGCAGCGGTCTGAAGAAAGTGCACAGAGTAAATCTGGGGTAAAAAGCTGAGCAGCGGGGCTCCTACGCCTCCGGTCACTTGATGTAGTAATCTGCTCCTGCAACAAAGCTGCATTGTAAGATCTGCTAATCTGACGTGAGGACAGCAGGCAGCAGCAGACAGCAGCAGGACACCACTAAAGTTACATTCTGAAGAGTATGGATGCAGCTTGATTATGCTTTGCTCCATATCGTTATCTTTGACACCTGAATCCAGCTTTGGGTCATGTCAATCATAAGTGGTACTGCGGCGGGCGCTCCCTGGTGGCAGATATGTGCATGACAGCTGCTGCGGTGCCAAAAGGTGTTAGTGATTAACCCTTCCTGTTTGAGCTCTGTGCTGTGAGCAGGAGACCAGCTTTTTCTGCACGCCAAGGCTTTTATGGCTCTGTGATGCAAACGACTACAATGACTGTGAGTATTTCATTGGTTTTCTTCTGGAATGATGGTACACGGAACATGGTATTATGTTTGTGTGTAAATGTAGCAAACAAGGATGCTTTAGGGATTTCTTTTTTTACATATATTTTCTTTTAATCCATCTCAGGGATATCAGAGTGCATCATGTTTGTGACTGTCATAATTAGTGACTGGAGGCCAATCTACTGCAAACTGAGTCTACAGTCTATTAAGTATTTCAGGCAGGTGCCAATACAACTCTTTTTGAAAGAAATGTTGAAAAAGAAAAAGTCCAACTTATTTGTTCCTCCAGATCATTATTTGGCATTGGACTCATTTGAAGCATTTATCTTTTAGTTGTTTTAACTTTTATCCTTTTTACTGGATTTTGAAAACAATGTTTCATAGGTATTGGCATTGTTTTTATGTTTTATTGTCTGTTTTAATTGCCTGTGAAGAACTTTGGATTACATTGTATGAATTGTGCTTTATAAATAAACTTGATTGATTGATTGATTGACAGTGATTAGATTCACCAACCTGCCTTATCATTCTTACGTCTGAAAGTCCTTTCTAATTGCTAACGTCATACATATGTTTTTGGAATACTGTCACCACTTCAGGCCTCTTAACATCCATTTTAAATTATTAATTTAAAAATGTTCTGCTGGCAATAGCAGATGCATTTTGAACACCAAATGTTAAGTGTTAAGAGGCTAGACACCTTTTTAGATAATAATTAGACCATAGTTGATATGTACAGACAAAAAAAAGACATAGAACTTTGACAATAGATCAGCTCAGGAATGACAAAAGAAAATTGGCTCTTGACTTTTGAATTATTTTGTACACCCATGATTTTGTGTGTTACATGGTCGTGATCACTTTCTTAAACCTGTTGAGGTCATAAATAGTAGTTGTAATTTGGAGTATTGTGATGTTACATGAATGCAATTTATTGACATGAATGAAATGTATTCTCACATGAACAATATCTCTTTACTTGGATTCTCCGCAGTGGCAGAGACATGGATGCCTTTGAGGGGATTCACAGGGTCCACATTTCCTCCTCCCCTCCGTCCTCCGTCTCCTCCGGTCGCAGTTATGAAGTGGTGAGATCTGGAAGGTCAGGGATCGCGGTGTATTCTTCTGCAGCCTTCTTTGGAACGCATGGAGCAGCAGCGAGAGCCACGCCGAGCAGGAGGGCAGAGGAGGTCTGTGCCGTCGGACAGTAAGTAGATATTTACCAAAACATGTCAATGATGTCATTTCAATAGATGGTTCAATGACAACAACAAAAGCGTGAGAGAAGATCAATAATAATGCTGAAATTTAAAATGATGCTATAACACTAAAGGCAGTGCGAGTCTGTCCAAAGTGACTGTTGTGTCCACATCAAATAAATAGAAAATTATTTTAATGTTTTGTTTACTACCAAAAACTAAATGTAAAATATAATGAGATGTCATATTAAAGCGGGGCCATAAAAACTTTTCCTTTTTGTTGTAAATATTGTAATTTCCAGACTAAAAGCCGTTATTTCAAATTGTTTGAACCCTGCAGCCAAAGTAGGTAATCTTACTTTAAAGTTCCACTAAGATGAAAGAACGGATTTGGACACAGCTCAATAATAATGATACACATAAAAAACTGTATATTTCTCTGCATTTCCTTGTTTCTCTCTGCTGTTCACATAAACACATTGGGAAGCAGGAATGCATGCTTCATAATCAGCTCTGGAGACCGACAGAAGATACAATTCTTTAGTTGTATGCTCAGCTACACAGAACAGTATTTAACATTTTCAGAGTAGAAGCCTGTCTTACATTTTCAGGAAGACGGTTCCAGATTTTAACAGCATAAATCTGAAACTACATGTTTAGTCCACACTCTGGGCACCAGCAGGAGGCCAGTCCATGTGCTCAACATGATGGCAGTCCCTGTGCTCCTCAGAGTCCTAGCAGTAAAAAGCAAATGAACAAAAACCTGAATTTCATTGAATTGTTTGGAGAAGGTACTTTTCATATTAGTAGTCAAGTTCATATTATCAACCTGATTTCTATTCGAGATTTTAATGTCATCCACTTTTGTCAATTGAAAATGCCAAAGTCAATTGAAAATGCCAAAGAAAAAGGTCAAAATCTTCACGTCAAACTAAAGAATGGAGTGAGGTTCTGAATAACTTGCATTTGTTTAATAAGCCAGAAAAAAGTCATTTGTGATGTTAGTTTGAAGATGTGTTGAGTACATAGACAGTTGAGTATCACCTGTGTGCTCTGGTAGAGGTATGCGCTCTCCGGGTCCACTGCATGTTGTTCGCGGCGCTGGGAGTGGATCATGTGACTGCAGAGAAAGAGGCAGGGCTCTGGGACAAGCTCTGTTCGGGGAATGTGTACAAGTTTTGCTCACAGCTCTCACAATAGGCTAGCATGATAAACAAAAGTATTGTTATTGTAAATCTCGGTTTCGCGTTTCTGTGGCACGCACGGATCTCGCTACGTTGTGCTTTCTTTACGCGCTCTGACGCATTCCTTCGCTGGCTGTGATTTGATTCGAGTCGTTTCCCTTAACCACGGATAAGATCGGATAATTAAACAAGTAAAGAAACATCGCTCAAAGCCGTTTTTTTCCTGGGGGATTGTGGAGAGAGAGACGGAGAGACGCGGTGGATCCAAATTGGACTCAGACCGAGGCGAGGTATAGGGCGTCGCTGCGGGGGACACAGATTGTGGTAGGCAGCTGTTAAATGCTGATAAACAGATAAAAAAAAATACTATTGCATTGTTAATCATTTATGCATACGCTAAGTCAAAGTTGTAGTTTCAAAAGTAATCCGGTCTCTTTTAAGCGGAGGTGCCATACAATTTAAAGTCTATGGGCCAAACGCACACCATGGCCTGATTGAACACACTTGTATCAATGGCTACTTTTGATTCATAGGGAAAGTTTGAGAATCAGGAGCTAATGATAATGAGTATAGGTCTAGAAATGATGCAAACTTTATATCATTAAAGTAACAGTGGGTAGCTGGGCATGCCATCAATTATACTCAGATATAGTTTGGGTGCCTAATGTTTTGCCTGTCTACTCTGTCCCAACAGAAAGAGTATTGTGATGGTATAATACTTAACTGCTTACTACTTAAATGGATGAATCCGACCTCAACATGCTGTCTCCATCTTATTTATCTTTAGCAATTGTCTTAATCATACTTGTAAGAAGTGGTAGTAGTAGTAGTAGTAGTAGTAGTAGAAATAGCCCTGTCACTATTTAAGGGTGGTCCTCTCTCTTTTTTTACTTTTCTGACTGAAAAAACTTATCTAAAAGATGTAACAGAGACCAAAAATGTAGTCTGTGCAAACCAGTGATGAAACCAGACCGTTGTAAAGCCAGGAACTCGTTTCATGGATTTTTATATACTATTTTTTCATGGTTTGAAAGTTGGCCACCCCAGCTTTAAACTACTTGTGCATCTCCATGGGAAACTTCGGAATAGATTTAAGATTCAAGATTCTACCAGTTCTTTTAATTACATGTGTGTTGTGTTGATGTCTTTCCCCTAATGGTGAATGTTAGCTCCTATAGTGTTTATTCATGCATAATGCTAATTGAATTTTGGTCAAACACATTTCTCATGGTGCAGACTGGTCAACCTGGATCCTGAGCCTGATCCTGAGCCCCACATGGAGGGAGGAGGAAGGGGCCATGGGGACTCCACCACGGACCTGTCCAGACATCGCAGCGCCTCTTTGGAGCTCAGAGAGAAAGAAATCCGAGAAAAGGGCTCAGAAATCCTCAGGGAACAGCTGGATGCGGCCAAGAGGGTGTTGTAACCTACTTTACGTTCACAATAGTCAGTCCGAACGGCTGACAATGCAAAATGGACTTCCTTCATTAAATGTGCTGCTTTTGCGTTTTGTCTCAGGAACTGAAACTCAAGGACAAGGAGTGTGAGCGGTTATCACAGGTCAGGGATCAGCTGGAGCAGGAGCTGGAGGAGCTGACGGCCAGTCTGTTTGAGGCAAGATTTATTCACCCAGGGACGGAGAGTTCTGAGAAGTGATGACAACAGGCCTCATGATCGCAACAATGTGGCTATGATCTAATCCACTCCACATTATGTACAGTATATAAAACATGTTTCCAAAGTTCTGCACAGATAAAAGTAACACATTCAAAAATACAAGTCTGCCAGCTTTAAATAAGAACAATACAATACAATAAAATAAAAAAAAAATTCAAGAATAAAATATAAACAAGTAAAATAAAAATACATTTATATAAATTACTATAATAAAATATAAACAAGTAAAATAAAAAATAAATAAAAATACATATATATATAAATTACTATAATAAAATATAAACAAGTAAAATAAAAAAATAAATTACTAAAATAAATTAAAAACAATTCAAATAAAATAATTGCGATGAGATGGCCGTACTGACAGTATTGAGACAGATCGTATTGATTTCATTATGTTTAGAGTTCACAAACATGTATGGATACATATCTATCATGTCAAACAAATATTTCAATAACCAGAATGCAATAGTGTGAAGTCTTTCGCTCACATTAGAATGCTAACCTCAACTGTTGGCTTCCATGACTCATTTACCAATGTGTTTTGACGATAAAGCTGCATGCGACAGCTACTAAAACTTGTTGGAGTCAAAATAATAAGTCCATAAACTGCTCTGACAACAGCCAAACTCTACCACATAAAAATAAAATACTTACAGTACATTGGCCACATCGCTGCATAGACCACAGGGTTCAAAATGTTTTTTTAAAGTAGCGGCATAGTCCGGCAATTATGGTAACCTTTATTGTTGAATTTCCCACTTGTTTTACCCTGAATCTCGACTTAGCTGAGGACATCTCTTCAAACTGTTTTCGTTGAGTATGTAAAGATTCGGGCTGTGATAGCCCCAAAAAATTATTCTTGGTCGACAAAAAATATACCTTGTCAGTCAAATAGTAAAAATATGGTGTGACAAAAGTTCTGGAAAACTGACAATTGTGGTCGTAAAATCACAAAAAGGCTATTGATACAGAAAAGTAACCCTTGCAAATTGAGAGTTGGATCTAGCTGGAATATCAAAGGAAAATCCCCAAAAATCTTGTAAAAAGTAGTAGACTATTAACACTTTTGGTTGACTAATATGTAAAAATACAGCTTCCTGGTATATATGGTGATATTTGGGTCATGGTTATTAAACTACATTTTCTTGTTTCAGGAACTAGACTCCATTACTTTCCTTACTTCTTCATTTATCATGATATATTGGAATTACGGTGCATATGAATGAGAATGAGATTTATTTTTGTGCCGTACGCAAATGTTTCTTGAGAAAATCCTTTCAAATTGAACAGTAACAAAACATGTTGAGTTTTGTATAGCCAGAGCAATACAACTTTTTCAAAATTGAGATACATTTTTTGCACTCATTCTTCTTGCATCCAAATGTTTTGAATAGAGATTTTATTCTATTTTTATTTTAGTCTAGAGTCATTTATCTGGTGCTGTGTGCTCTTCATTCCTACTGTCTGTAACTTGTGATGCAACATTGAAATTTCCCCACTGAGGGACAAATCAAAATTAAAATCTCTTAATCTTAACCCTTTTTTTGTCTTGAAGGAAGCTCATAAAATGGTTCGAGACGCCAACGTAAAGCAAGCGACGGCAGAGAAGCAATTAAAAGAGGCGCAGGGGAAGGTATGCTGACATTTATGGTCTACGAGTCTAAATTATAGTTTTTTTTTAAGTAGGTCATTTCTTATTCTTGACTTGTGTGTGTCTTTTAGATTGATGTTCTCACAGCAGAAGTGACCGCTCTGAAGGCTCTGGTGCTGACCTCCACTCCGGCCTCACCGAATCGCCAGCTCCACCCGCAGCTGCAGTCCTCGTCCACAAGGGGAGCTCACAAACACATGGGCCACAGTCGAAACAAAAGCACGAGTGGTGTCTTTTCACAGACGAATGGAAAAACGGACCAACCCTCGGACTCTCCTCAGCCGCCTGCGAAAGAGGACAGAGAGGTAATGTGCGGAAATTCATATAAGCCGTTAACGGAAAATTGACTTTTGACCACGTTAGAACGGTCATCAAAAAGACATTGGTTTAGAGGAGCAAAACTGTCAAAATAATGGATAAATAAATAATAAATAAAAGGATGAAATAATAATAAATAAAATGATTAAATAATAAATAAAATATTAAATAAAATGATTCATAAAATAATACATACAATAATAAATAAGTAATACGAATAAATATTAAATAAATTTCACAAATATAAAAAATATATATTATTATTATCATACAATGCTTTGTGGTTAAAAAATAAAATAATAAAGCTTCTTTTCAGTGTTGTCTTAATAATTATTGGAAGATTGTGACATTGGTGGATTTGTTCATCAATGTATTATTTTTTACATTGTTGGTTCTCCATACCTGGAGTTGTTTTGAGATCACTAATGTCAGAAACTTGAAACTTCTGGCACAAACATGTAGCTCCGCCCCTTCTGTCTAAAAGCTCCTGTCTCAGTTCTGTAACAGTTTGATGTCATTGTACCACTATGACATCGCACTACATTTTAAAACAAAAGTATTGTCTGTAAGTTAGTTTTGGTCATTTCTCTGGTGAAATAACACAAAACAAATTCCCGTGGTACCATATATTTTCCATTGAGAATATTCTTTCACATTCTAAAACATGAAATGACAAAGTAAATAGTCTCATTATCATATTTAATGGGCAAAAATTATGTGTAATATTTCTTCTTTGACACTTTACAGTCTATTCTTTTTGCCTCGTGCTTCTAACTTCCAAGCTTTTGTCATCACGGTGTTTGATTCGTTGCTGCTTTCCTTTCTCTCCTTTTCTTCCTGCTTCCTGGACAGAGCTCTGTCTCTAAGGCCCATGGTCTTTGCACTCAGGGGAATGATCTGAAAGGTAACTCCAAACACAAAGATAATAGTCATTCAATGTGTTTTCCTTTTATGACATAAAAATGTAACGGTAACTTTACTGCGCCAAAGAAAACAAATCTGAAGTTAGAAGGTAGATCACAATCATCAAACACCTGGATGTGAGTCAGGAGGAGGAGAAGCAGCAGCACTGTAAAAACTGAAAATATAGAATAGTGTAGCTCACTTGATCTCAGTGTATTTATCTAATCTGTTTTTATTTTTATTTTTTACTTTTAGGTTATTGTTTCAAGATATCTTAACAAGTGGAAAAAAAATCTCGCCTGGCCTTATCCATCCGTAAACTCCGGTTAATTAGCATGTATGAAATGAAATTTGAAATTTGAGCGACAGTAGCTCAGTTGGTAGAGCATTGGCCTTTGGGCCTGAAAGTCGTGGGTTCAAGCCCACCATAAGACCTACTTCACGACACCCACTGATGTCTGCTGTCGTTGTGTCCTTGGGCAAGACACTTAACCCTACTTTGCCCAAAGCCCCCACTGAAAGATCTCAGCTCCTGTGCACTCACCACCTGCAGGAGGATCAGTGAGGGGCTGGTGCTCTGTGTACTGGGTGCAGCTCTGACTGCCACCCCCCCGACCCGGAAATGGATTAAGGGGAAGAAAATGGATGGATGGATGGAAATGAAATGTGTTCAATGGTGTGGTAAGACCAGGCTAGGACAAATCATGATCCACTGGCAGATATTTTTTCTACTCATCCTTTCACTGTAATTGGCCAAAATATTATGCACAGTTAATCCTTGTGCTATAGTGATTAAAAGTGAGAGAAAAATACCCTAAATTATGGTCTAAAAGTGTCAAAATGAGCGAGGGCTCAATCAAGTTACAAAAAATGTTTAAAATTCAGCTCGAAAACTAAATATTTAGGGTAGTTTTTTATCTCTATGGCGGGTCAATTAGACACAAGGATAGCAAGTATTTCACAGACAGAGGTCTTTACAATTGCTGTGGCCATTATTCTTCTCACTCTACTCGGTGATGGCAGCGGGGTCGCCATACAGGATACGCAAGCTAGACCTATTGTTCATGTTTTTAGTGATAGGGGAAACCGCAGCACCTGGAGGAAACTTGCGTAGACACGGGAAGAAACTGTCTGTGTGCAAACTCTACACAGAGAGTCTAGAGGTGAAATCGGACCAAAGCTCTCACCACTTTGAACCCTTAGATTTGGTGTTAAAAGTAAAAAAAATTATTATATTTTTGTCAGTTTTTTTTTTTTTTTTTTTTAATCTAGCTTAGGTGAAAGGCTCTAGACCAGCCAGTACTTTACAAAACATCTTAAATATAGTCTTGCATTTTATTGACTGACGGATTTATTTTCACAGATGGATTCAGTTTTATTCGCTGAGTTTTTAATGTGGAAAGAAGATCCAGGTTTGGAGCGTTCTTCTGCATTTCTGAGTCGGATTCACAAAGAAGACATCGGCCCCTGTCTCTCCTTCACCCGCTCTGAGGTCTGTGTCCGTTTGTTTCTCTCAAAAGCTCACTACATTAACTTTCACATATGCATTAAGTATTATATTTGTACGCAGTTGTCTCTGATGGTGCAAAGTGCAGTGGAAAACAATTCTTTAACCATTGAGCTTGTGGCCATGTCAGCATTACCCACGGTTAAGGCCCCTGCGCTGGACTGCGGAGGCCCTAAGTGAGTTATTCAGCCGTAACAATAGCTAGAGTCAGTTCTAGAAATTCTCCTCTCACATGATTTGGTTCTGATCACGCTTTGGGTTGTTCTTCCTGGTTTCTTTTTATACCACACAACACTAAAAATGGAATAATCCTGGGCACATTTCTAATCCCTGTGTGTGCGATTGAACTCTCTTTCAGTGGCTTTAGGGCAGCAATAGAAACGTAAGTGCTTTCGGGAGCTTTTGTTTCTTAAAATCTTGTCTTTTTCTGCATCATAATTGTTATTTGATAATCTCTCCCTGCTGCGTTGATTTGACTAACCTGCATGTGATCCCCAGACTGCATGTGTTCACGTGTTTGCCCTGTATATTTGTGTACACTTGAAAAAAAAATACTTTTAATACTTAAAACTCATTGACTGCCGGCCGATGATTTCACTGATTCTCAAGACCCACAGGATATTATTTCCTAAGACTATATGAAATACAAAACCTGATTCTGAAAGACTGGATTGTCTACTTTTATCAGCAAAAATAAGTCTGTTTCTATCTATTTTCATTGTCCCGTAATCTCCAGTCGAATAGAGAGTCTCAGACAAATACGTCAATGGCAGTCAATGAGTTAAAATAAGACACATTATCTGCCAATAGAACAAGATAATATAACTTGACAAGATTTCTGAAAAAAATAAATAATACTAGCCCCGAATGACTTGATTCTAGTATAAAATTAAGAGATTAAAAGATCCTTTATTTGTCCCACAGTGGGGTAATTTCAGTGTTGCAAGATAAGTGAACAATAGCTATACTAATTAAAATAAAACAAAATCTCTGTTTCTATGATGCTGCAGTTAAGCATAATAAAGAGATATAACATTTTTACATTTGGCAAAAATAAGAGACAAGTATAAAGTACTGGGTATTTTAGTGCAAGCTAAGTGTAGTTATACGTATGTTAGCATCTGTACCTGTTAGCAAAAGTATGTTAGCATCTGTACATGTTAGCAGCAGTATGTTTACATCTGTACATGTTAGCAGCAGTATGTTTACATCTGTACATGTTAGCAGCAGTATGTTAGCATCTGTACATGTTAGCAGCAGTATGTTAGCATCTGTACATGTTAGCAGCAGTATGTTTACATCTGTTTCATGTTAGCAGCAGTATGTTAGCATCTGTTTCATGTTAGCAGCAGTATGTTAGCATCTGTACATGTTAGCAGCAGTATGTTAGCATCTGTACATGTAGCAGCAGTATGTTAGCATCTGTACATGTTAGCAGCAGTATGTTAGCATCTGTACATGTTAGCAGCAGTATGTTAGCATCTGTACATGTTAGCAGCAGTATGTTAGCATCTGTACATGTTTAGCAGCAGTATGTTAGCATCTGTACATGTTAGCAGCAGTATGTTAGCATCTGTACATTAGCAGCAGTATGTTAGCATCTGTGCATGTTAGCAGCAGTATGTTTACATCTGTACATGTTAGCAGCAGTATGTTTACATCTGTACATGTTAGCAGCAGTATGTTAGCATCTGTACATGTTAGCAGCAGTATGTTTAGCATCTGTACATTAGCAGCAGTATGTTAGCATCTGTACATGTTAGCAGCAGTATGTTTACATCTGTACATGTTAGCAGCAGTATGTTTACATCTGTACATGTTAGCAGCAGTATGTTAGCATCTGTACATGTTAGCAGCAGTATAATTAGCATCTGTACATGTTAGCAGCAGTATGTTAGCATCTGTACATGTTAGCAGCAGTATGTTAGCATCTGTACATGTTAGCAGCAGTATGTTAGCATCTGTACATGTTAGCAGCAGTGTGTTAGCATCTGTACATGTTAGCAGCAGTATGTTTAGCATCTGTACATGTTAGCAGCAGTATGTTAGCATCTGTACATGTTAGCAGCAGTATGTTAGCATCTGTACATGTTAGCAGCAGTATGTTAGCATCTGTACATGTTAGCAGCAGTATGTTAGCATCTGTACATGTTAGCAGCAGTATGTTAGCATCTGTACATGTTAGCAGCAGTATGTTAGCATCTGTACATGTTAGCAGCAGTATGTTAGCATCTGTACATGTTAGCAGCAGTATTGTTTAGCATCTGTACATGTTAGCAGCAGTATGTTAGCATCTGTACATGTTAGCAGCAGTATGTTAGCATCTGTACATGTTAGCAGCAGTATGTTAGCATCTGTACATGTTAGCAGCAGTATGTTTCATCTGTACATGTTAGCAGCAGTATGTTAGCATCTGTACATGTTAGCAGCAGTATGTTAGCATCTGTACATGTTAGCATCTGTACATGTTAGCAGCAGTATGTTAGCATCTGTACATGTTAGCAGCAGTATGTTAGCATCTGTACATGTTAGCAGCAGTATGTTTAGCATCTGTACATGTTAGCAGCAGTATGTTTAGCATCTGTACATGTTAGCAGCAGTATGTTAGCATCTGTACATGTTAGCAGCAGTATGTTAGCATCTGTACATGTTAGCAGCAGTATGTTAGCATCTGTACATGTTAGCAGCAGTATGTTAGCATCTGTACATGTTAGCAGCAGTATGTTAGCATCTGTACATGTTAGCAGCAGTATGTTAGCATCTGTACATGTTAGCAGCAGTGTGTTAGCATCTGTACATGTTAGCAGCAGTGTGTTAGCATCTGTACATGTTAGCAGCAGTGTGTTAGCATCTGTACATGTTAGCAGCAGTGTGTTAGCATCTGTACATGTTAGCAGCAGTATGTTAGCATCTGTACATGTTAGCAGCAGTATGTTAGCATCTGTACATGTTAGCAGCAGTATGTTAGCATCTGTACATGTTAGCAGCAGTGTGTTAGCATCTGTACATGTTAGCAGCAGTATGTTAGCATCTGTACATGTTAGCAGCAGTATGTTAGCATCTGTACATGTTAGCATCTGTACATGTTAGCAGCAGTATGTTAGCATCTGTACATGTTAGCAGCAGTATAATTAGCATCTGTACATGTTAGCAGCAGTATAATTAGCATCTGTACATGTTAGCAGCAGTATGTTAGCATCTGTACATGTTAGCAGCAGTATGTTAGCATCTGTACATGTTAGCAGCAGTATGTTAGCATCTGTACATGTTAGCAGCAGTATGTTTACATCTGTACATGTTAGCAGCAGTATGTTAGCATCTGTACATGTTAGCAGCAGTATGTTAGCATCTGTACATGTTAGCAGCAGTATGTTAGCATCTGTACATGTTAGCAGCAGTATGTTAGCATCTGTACATGTTAGCAGCAGTGTGTTAGCATCTGTACATGTTAGCAGCAGTATGTTAGCATCTGTACATGTTAGCAGCAGTATGTTAGCATCTGTACATGTTAGCAGCAGTATGTTTACATCTGTACATTAGCAGCAGTATGTTTACATCTGTACATGTTAGCAGCAGTATGTTAGCATCTGTACATGTTAGCAGCAGTATGTTAGCATCTGTACATGTTAGCAGCAGTATAATTAGCATCTGTACATGTTAGCAGCAGTATGTTTACATCTGTACATGTTAGCAGCAGTATGTTAGCATCTGTACATGTTAGCAGCAGTGTGTTAGCATCTGTACATGTTAGCAGCAGTATAATTAGCATCTGTACATGTTAGCAGCAGTATGTTTACATCTGTACATGTTAGCAGCAGTATGTTTACATCTGTACATGTTAGCAGCAGTATAATTAGCATCTGTACATGTTAGCAGCAGTATGTTAGCATCTGTACATGTTAGCAGCTGTATGTTAGCATCTGTACATGTTAGCAGCAGTATGTTAGCATCTGTACATGTTAGCAGCAGTATGTTAGCATCTGTACATGTTAGCAGCAGTATGTTAGCATCTGTACATGTTAGCAGCAGTATGTTAGCATCTGTACATGTTAGCAGCAGTATGTTTACATCTGTACATGTTAGCAGCAGTATGTTAGCATCTGTACATGTTAGCAGCAGTATGTTAGCATCTGTACATGTTAGCAGCAGTATGTTAGCATCTGTACATGTTAGCAGCAGTGTGTTAGCATCTGTACATGTTAGCAGCAGTATGTTAGCATCTGTACATGTTAGCAGCAGTATGTTAGCATCTGTACATGTTAGCAGCAGTATGTTAGCATCTGTACATGTTAGCAGCAGTATGTTAGCATCTGTACATGTTAGCAGCATACATTTACAAGTATTATTTACTTATTTATTAAAATATAGCATAACACAAGAAAAGTTGTCTGGAAATGAGAAAACAATACTTACAAAACACGCTTAAAAGACTCACTGCTCAGACTTATTTTTTTCTAAGATTATGAAGTAATATTTTATCTTAAAACTAGGAAAATAATCTTACATGACAAACTAAATTCAAGCTAAAAAAAACTTGCCATTAAAAAAAATACACACATTTAAGTTATTGTCAGTAAATAAATCTTACCTTTATTTAACTTTTTTCAATGTATATTTGTGTTGTCTTCTCACTGTTTCTTTGCTGATAGGAACTGTGCATTGAGTGGCTTGCCCCGAATGTGCAGACACCGCATCAAACTTGGCGACAAAGGAAACTACTATTATATCTCTCCTTCGAGTCGAGCAAGGGTGACCGTCATCTCTATCTTCACACAAGCAGCACTGCACTATCTGTTGTAGCCATCTTTAATTGCTTATGTAACCTTGTGCCCATTTGAATCTTTCAGATCACAGCCGTTTGTAACTTTTTCACCTACATCCGGTACATTCAGCAGGGCCTGGTTAGAAATAATGGTGAGTCTTCCTAGAAAATACTCAAGAATTTACTATATTAAAACTTCACTTCAACCAAATAAAGGCTGGGTATCGTTCAGAGCCTGCAATTATGATAGACATCTCAATACGCACAAAACAATATGCATCTAGATACAGGGGACTTCGACTTTGATGCAACTCTATACGGTTCAGTGAAAAATATGCTCAGAGCCACTAAAAAAACAGAATCTGTAGGTGTCGTCCTGTAAAGAGTCACAATCTCTTTTAAGGCAATAAATGTAGAGAATTGTAGAGAAACATTTTGATTAATGTAGAGAAATCCACATTTATTGGCTGCAATAACATGTTAATGCAGATATTTAGGCTCATTGTATTTGTGTGTTTGGCAAAAATGTGGCTTCAATGAGAGGAGGATATGTAGAACTTTGAGAATTCAAAAAACTTGAGCGATCAGAAGAAGAGACATGGACAGTGAGAGCGATGGGGGCTACAGCAAACCGGAGACTTTAAAACGTTGCATAATGACAAAACTATTGAAACTAAGTGGAAGGCACCGGAAAAGAGGGAACAACAGGCACAGATTCTTTGATGAAAATAAATAATATTTTCTTAAACTACATGGCAAAGAGTCAAAGATTCGGATTAGAGTGGGAGCTGACCCTTAGCTTTGACACCCCTGCTCCAACAAAAATATCGAAGATTTACTGTTATTAAAGCCAGAATATAAAAAAAAATTAAGAAACAAGAAACCAATATTGTATCTAATTTAAATATATTAATAATTATTTTTAGCACACCCTTCAACCAAAACTGTTTTTTAACCTCTCAATATAATTTTAAGGGATACAACAGATAACGTGTGTGTGTGTGTGTGCCATTAAAATTGTTGTTCGTGTTTATGGCTGTATAAGGAATTGTTGATGACTTTAATGTGTTCTTCTTTCACAGCGGAGCAAATGTTTTGGGAGGTGATGAGACTACGGAAAGAGATGAGCGTGGCAAAGTTAGGTTTCTACGTCACGGACCAGGGATAACACATTTCGACCAAATAAAAAGGACATCCTATGAGGCCAAAAACTTTGCTAACGAGTCCTGGATATGTTGCCAAGTGCTGTAGCAAAAAGAATCACCAAGGGAAAAGTATGCCATCATGATACGGTGGGAAATAGGGTGACTTGTAATCTGCTTTGTCTGATAATCCGGCAGTTTACTCATATGAATTTTACTCTTTTTTTAATGAGTGACATATAATGAATGTTATCAAAAATAGAAAGTTTGCATACGATCAAACACAAAAGTGTGATTTGGCTCCATGAAAGTCGCTTCGCCGTATGACCCTCTTCCAGTCGCTTTGGTACGTTTGTTCATACAAATCAAAACAACCTTTTTTTTTGGTCTGGACCCAACTTCAACACCATAGTTATCCAAATGTGATAGTTGATTGGAAACATTACTTCTGCTTGAAAAGTAGTAATAAACAGTCAGTGTATTTAAAAGCCATGACAATGCAAGGACGCAGTAAAATGCCATAAGTGAAAATTTATTCTCTGTACCTCGCAGTATCAATGTATTATAATAATGCCATCAAGTATAAATATATATATATATGACGGTAAATATGAAGTTTATTATGTGCAATAGTCATTTCTTTGCCTGGACTAGAGCTGGATCCTCCGTGTAAACACTCCATTAAAACAAGCTATGCTACCAGACCTTTGTACTCTTCCTGTTTTACCGTTGTTTATGATCATGAGATGCATGCTGGCGATAAATATTTTACACTTGGATGAACGGGAAAACCTGTTATTGTGATTTGACCCAGACTTAGTCCAGTGCCAGGAAATCAAAAATCTAAGCTGGATGCCTACAGCCATCAAACCCGTTCAGGAAATGGTATCATTCTTCTCCTGAGTAAGTAAAGTCAAGTTTATATATATACATATATATATATATATATAGCGCCTTGAACAGACCAGGATCACAAAGCGCTTCACAATTAAAAACATACAGTAAAAATACACGTACAATACAAGTAGTTCCAAAAAAACTAATATACAGAATAATCATGAACACACTTCAGATGAGCCTATGTACAGTGAGAAAGCTTAAACAAATAGATCTTCAGTTCCATCTATCGTCTTCCCCTTTATTCATTTCGCCTCTGTCAGTGATTTCACAGCCTTTAAGTGGGACTTCAGGCAGAGTGGGGTTAAGTGTCTTGCCCAATGAAACAACGACAGCAGTGGGAATCGGTGGACAAGGTCTTATATCGGTGGGTTTAAACTCCAGGCTCAAAGGCCAATGCTCTACCAACTGAGCCACTGTCGCCCCAGATCTTAAAGGTGCGACCTAAAATTCTCCACTGTCTATAACATCGGCAGAGACTGGGGAAGCTCATTCCCAAGACTCCAAGTGAGCATTTATTAAACATACAACATTTATAAAAAAGAAAAAAAAAATGGTTATACATTTTCATGTGCCCATTTCATAACACATTTAAGTTGTGTACCATTATACAAATATTTCTTTCATTGTACAAAAGAAAAGTCATGTGTTTTAAAGCAATACTTATAAAAAGAGCATTCTCAATTGTAAATTTGTATTCAACTTTTTGCTTGACAACATTTAGTATCTACAAAAAATTCTCTCTTGGGATAATATCTGAAAAAGAAAAAAGACACTTGTATTAACTCCAAAAGAATTTTGTGTTGTCGTCTGCTTTCTAAAGTGTTTCTTACTTTCGATAACAAATCATGGACACAGCTAAAAGAGCGGCTCCACTGATGACGACAACAACAACAGCCGCTATAATGGAGGATGTTTTAGTCTGATCTGAAATAACAAGTTGCAAAGTATATTATAGACTGGGCCAGAAGAGATCAATTATTGAACAAGGAAATACAAAAACTTATAGGCCTTTACCAACACAAACAAATGATCCCGGTGTGTTCAAGCATTTTGCATCTTTGGGACAAGGTGAATCATTTTCTTCACATTCGTTGATATCTATAACGAGGGAAAGTATTAGTAAAAGTAAAAATAAGCTGGAAATGGTTGGTTTTGTATGTACCCTGGCAGGACGGTGGGGCAGGCCTCCACTTCCTGGTATTTGGGTCACATGTGATTGATGAGGAGCCCAGCAGCTTGTAGCCAGACTGGCACTCGTAAAGAACCATGGCGTTGCAGAGGAGAGAGTAGCCGGCGTGAATCCTGGGTATGAGGCTGCAAATCGGATCTATGGCAGATGTCACACAATGTTACAATAATGGAAAATAATATGAGCGTCTTACTGTTTCAACTTTTTTTCTCTAAAACAGCTCAAAAAAGTGGCATGTGGAATCTGACCTGCATATTTTGTACTGTATCTGTGTTACTGCTATTTATTATCTGAAGGACTGCACGTATTGGTTTTACCCACATTGTTACTGCAGTATCTATATCTTAAGCATGCGTCATTTAAATCTCCAGTGATGATGTCTCTGTCCTTATGTGTTGATAAAATCCTATAAAAAGTCTGGTCCTCTTTTGATCAATCTGAAGGGACTAGAGAAAAACCGCGTTGCAGGTGCAATTGCCGTATCATTTCTTGACACGCAAACACACTGAACTACGTGAGACGCTGTGGCTCTGTAGTTTTGGCCTCTGATGACTTATTCACCGTAAATACCAGACTATAAGCCACCACTTCTTAAAATGTCTTTTAGCTCTGTGGACTGTTGATAGTAATGCAGCCAATGTACGTGTGGTAGTAGGTCCTGTGTGCCCTGTGGCAGTGTATAGCCTCCTCCCTTTAACTCTTTAACGGTTTCCTCAACATTTGATGGATCACTTTTTGAGTCAGCTTGGAACTGAATTATTCCTCATTGGGGCATCTCTATCACTTTGTTTATTGCTTTTACCATCAAACTGCATCTCAATCATTTGGTAAAGGCCTATAATAAAAAAAACTAGGGGTTAAAAAAAGTGTTATTAGTACTCCTACATCTTACAGAATCAAAAACAGTTAAATGTACATTGCTTTCTTCAAGGAGTGAACATTAATGGGCTTGAGGGCACCACCTCTTTGCCTCCCTCACCTTTGTCTGGCTCTTTCCAGGGGCTGAGGTCCATGTGTGGGATGAGAGGGTGGGAGCAGGGCAGCAGGTCCTCGGGGCTTTCTGTGAGTGTGAACGGGTCTAAAGGTACAGACCTGATGTGGCTGTTGTCGCAGATGATGCGTGACAACGACACAGAGTGAAGCTGTTTCCTCTGGGTGCTACTGAACACTCCTTTTCTCTCCCACCAAAACCTATGAAAAGTATCGTTTAGAAATTCTAACCAGAAAAATATTTATTCTGCGTTTTACCTGTCGCCATCTCTAAGAATCCTGAATTGTCTTCCTAAAAGACAGGAGAGCAGAGGTCCCACTCGACCTCCGGGTAGCGCAGGCTCAGAGATGGCCCCCACCCAAACATCAATGTTGTGTGGCGTCCCATATAACACCTGGAATGTATTCGCTAAGGTGGTGTTTTCCAAAATATGAGCCAGTTCTGATGTGGTGTTGGGAACAGAGAGACCGCAGAAGCCTCGCCATGCACCGTAACCTAAAAAGACAAAGAAGAAGTTATATTTCTTGTTGAAACCAAAACAATTTTCTAATGTTTAATACAAGGATTATGGCATGTGGAGCAGATCTAGAGTCAAAGACCATTAGCACAAGCATATTTCGTGTTTTGACTGAAAGCTGCGTCACTGCGAGGCAAAAAAATGCATGGGTCATAATTTGGGCTCTACGCGTTAAAACAATTCTATATTTTTTTGTTTTATTTTTTGTTGTTGCAAAGTTTTCTCTTTAAACTAATGTACCTGGCAACCCGTGGTCCCTGCCTCTCTGAAGGTTCAGAGCAGCGAGGTCTAGAGGGATCCCTCCTTGAGCCTGAAAGAGCCGCTCTGTCAGCTCCTCCACCATCATCTGACCCGGAGTCTGCAGTTTGGCTGGTGACATCACAAGGCCACGTAACACTGGGTCAATCCCCCCTGAGAGAAAAACACTTCATAGAACATCACATTTGGTATTTGTTGTGGTCAGAGTGGCGTAATGTGGCTGCCCAACTGCTGTCCGTAAACCAGCTATAAAAGTGTGGAATTTATTTTATATCTGTGTTTTCCCATACCTTCCTGTACAACTCGCCAAGATGCAAACAGCGATTGGTGCAGACTCAGAGGGGGATTCTCGGATTCTGTGGAGTAGCCAGGACCCAATCTGGCCACCATCGGCTGCACGGTGACATGAGCGAAGCGGAAGGCAGCAGTAGAAAACACATTCGCGATGGTCGGCTCTACTGACGGGTCGTAGCCTTTGTATGGAGGAATCTGATCATCCATGGCACTGTCACCAAGGATCCGTGGGAGATATTGTTCCCATGTTATTATCTGAGAAAGTAAAAATAATTTACTCCTACAACCATCTCCCACTGGTAATACAACAGCAATTTACGTGAGATTTTATACTTCTTTATTATGCTAAAGTCAGACTTGTTGTTGTTTTCTCTCTCTCTCTCTCTCAAACCTGGTTGCATGAGTAAATCTTTGCTGGCTTTGCACTGAGACCCGTCATCAATGGATCCATATTAATCAAATCAATTCTCAGAAGTGTGTAGCGTACCTGGTGAATTGCTCCCATGATTTTGCGAGCTTCTTGGTAGAGAGTGTCAGGACTCCAGTGAGGGTTGAGCCGCTGCAGCTGCTTCACTAGGCGGTTGTGCTCCCTCAGAAACAGAGTGTGGAGGACGACCATCCCCAGGTGCTCATTGGCTCTCGAATCGCCTGTTCAGCAGCAGCACCATACCGTGGTAGTTAAAATACTGTATAATACTAACCACCAAACACTCCCTCAAGTCCGTTTCCTTTGAACTTTCCTTCGGGCTTTACCACAACATTGAGGTAAAGGAAAAAGTATGTGAAACTCTGGTCTTGGTTCAACAAGGGCACTTTGTGAGAAACCCTTATTAACGTCAAAATCCATGACTTTTAAAAGAGTGAGCCATTTTGTGTGAGTGTGTGTGTGTTTTTTTTGTCATGTTTGTTCTGTTTTAGATTGCTTGTTTGTTTGTTTATTTATTTCAAATAAAGAAAATATAACATTCACAGTAAAAATGTTGCAGATTGAGCTTTTGTGTTTTTTTTTCTGTTCTTGATGAATGTGTTTGTGTTTGTCTGTTTTGTTGTCTTTAATAAAATAAAAAAAATAAAAAGGTGAGTCAGCAACATGTACGGCAACTCCAGATATTAAACGTTTCATCAGATAAGAGTGTATGTATGTTCTTTTGCAAAAATAAAAAAAAAAAGAATGAAAAAAAACAGATTTGAGTGTAAATTGAGAAAGTGGCTGTCACTAATGTACACTTCATGAATTAAATTAGGACACACACACGTTCTCACCAGCCTGAAAGCACGACGTTTTGTTCCCCAGGGAGGATCTGGGAGGGCCGCTGGAGTTCCGGGGGCCGCAGGGGTCCAGCTGGGACTGTGTTTGGGGCAAGAATGGCATATAGGGCAGATCCTCATCCCTGCAGAGTGTGTTCAGAGCCATAGCCCCATGAGGCGAGGACTGGTTTCTCAGGACCGAGGCCAAGTTCAAGGAGCTGCCGTAGACCATGCTGGCGTCCACGAATGAGGTGATGGCGTTGAGCTGCTCGCGGTGGCGTTGAGGCATGAGGCCCTCGGAGCAGCTCGGGGCAGACCGGAAAAATGGCATACAGCTTTGGATGCCACTGCGAGGATCCGACAACGGAATCTAGCAAGAAAAAATTCAGAAGATGTTTCATTTATAGTGAGTGGTAAGTTAATTTAAGTAATATGTGAAACAGCAAAGGAAAAAGCTTCTCCTACCTGGTTTTGAATTAAAACTTTGCTATAGAATGTAGAAGATTTATGGGGATAATTATTAGGGAAATCAAAATCATAAATTGGAACTAGGGCTGTTAAGTTAAACAAATATAAAAATAGTTGTCAACTATTTTTGATGAATCATTCTTGAACCTTACACAGACTTAAGATGTTGAGAAGAGGTTTATGACCCGAAAAAATCTAGAATGACTGCAGAATGAAATGAAAATGTGTTTTTATTGTAATTTTACATAAACAAGTCAATGTGTAACAAGTCATCATCACGATATTCTCCAGAGGCAGCACTGAAGCTTTGATTTGGCCAAATATGGTCTAGCCGAAAATTGAGCCAGGTCTAACCCAAGTCTCATCCAAGTCTAACCCAGGTCCTACCCCGGTCCTACCGGGGTCTCACCCAGGTCTCACCCAGGTCTAACCCAGGTCTAACCCAGGTCTAACCCAGGTCTAACCCAGGTCTCAGCCAAATCTCATCCAGGTCCAACCCATAGATCTATTATAATAAGGTCCAACCCAAGTCTCACCAAGGTCTAACCCAGGTCCTACCCCGGTCCTACCGAGGTCTTACTCAGGTCTAACACAGGTCTCAGCCAAGTCTCAGCCAAGTCTAACCCAAGTCTAACCCAGGTTTAACCCAGATTTAACTCAGGTCTAAACCAGGACTAAGCCAGGTCTAACCAATACTGCGTCAACTAATCAATTATATAAATATTTGTTCAATACAGCCCTAATTAGAACGTTTTATCAGACATCTCATAGATTTAACCAAACCCTCAATGGATTGGATCCCTAACCGACATTAGTGCAAGGCCAGGGCTTCTCTCTCAATGACCCGTGGGCTTGGCAGGGAAGCAAACACAATGGGTGCAGTCATCAAACCTGTGGCACCTGTATGGGGAAGCAGGGAGAGTCCCGGCTGCAGGAGAGGCTGCAGTCGGCACCGGTCTTAAACGCGTTTGTGCTGGGACTCTGAGGCGTCAGCACCACATCATGGTCAATCCACTGCCCCCACTCCACGAGCAGATGGGACAAGGTGGAGTCCAGAGAAATGTTGTTGTTCTGAGTGGAAAGCACCTCTTGGGACACACGCCGCACCTGTAATATTCCGGATCCAAATGTTTAACAGTGAAAGATCTTTGCTGACAACTAAAGAGAAATAGTCTCACTGGAGGAAGGCTGAAGTTATGATACATGTGGTCCGGGTCCCAGCCTCTCGGAGCGCCCCACACGTCTTCATACTCGGGAGGAAGCCAGCGGGAGTACGGGATATTAGCAGCACCCCACCTGGGATACTTTCTGTCAGATGAAAGCCAATAGTGAATGTACAAAACATATTTACTAGACTTGGAGAAAGACAAACATATACTTAAATTAGTTAAATTCAGAACTTCTCAAACTTGATTCTATTTTCAATACTATTCAAAAAGGAAACACTGAAGAAGTACGTGGAGGAGAGATATTTTAATTAATTTCAACGACAATAATAATAATATAATGGATGAAGTCTGACAGATTTACCATAATTGTTAAACTATAAGCCACTACTTTTTTCAAATTGTGTTCCTCGGGGCACAGGAACAAATTTGGACACAGCTCTATCAGCTGTTAAATACAGTATGTTTATGTGAACAGCAGAGAGATGACATGCAGGGAAATATACTGAACAACGACTGATTAGACTGATTAGAATTGGTGGATAATTTGGATTATTTTGTAGCAATAGAATGCACGTTTATTGTCAAAAATAGTTTGGCGAATGAGTCTGTACAGTTAAAGTAAACATTCTAGCATGAGTTGTTGTTTGCCTATTCAGTTTATAATGTTATTTACCTTTAGCTTTGTCCACGTTGTGATAAAACCCCCCGTTATTTAATCATGTTGTGTCCAGGTCTATCGCCTTTGTTTTACTCCATCTGCTTTTGGTTTAAGTGTTACGTTACAACATGAAAACCTGCGGCTTATTTTCAAGTGTGGCTTATATGTGGACAGAATTCACTCTCTGTTCAAATTCAGCTGGTGCAGTTTATAGTTTAACATTGCTGCAGTGATGTTTGAAAGCCTACCTGTTGTTGCAGTCTCCGGTGATGGTCCGGTAGCGCTCAGAGAGACAGTCGGAGGGGCACAGCGGCCTCTGCAGCTTGGAGGAGCATCCGGTCACTTGCAGCAGGTTTTCTACATCTCTGTCACTCAACAAATCTGGGAAGATTCATCCTCTTAGATTATTTACCAATGTTGAGTGAAATACTATGTTGCTATATGTTGATAATACTGTATACAGTATGTTGCATTGAAGACAAACAGTTGATTATTTAAAATATAATCAATCAATCAATTCACAAATAAGAGATCCTTTATTCGTCCCACAGTAGGGAAATTTCAATGTTGCAGCACACATACGTCCTGTATGTGTGCTGCAACATTGAAGCACACAGGGAGCACACAAAATACACTATACAATACAAGTAGCTGCTTTTCATGGCTAGTTGTAAATGCTTATATACAATAATAATGATTCTAATGCATTGGTTGTATATGGTTTCCAGGACACTCAAAAACGCTTCACATGTCATTATTCTTTCACTCCATACACATGGTGATAAACTACTAATGTAGCCAGAGCTGCCCTGGGGCACACAGACAAAAGCGAGGCATGTACCATGGGCCTCTCCGACCATCACCAGCCATTCACACACACACCAGACTCATTCTAGGCAATGTGGGTGAAGTGTCTTGCCTAAGGACACAACGACTGTTTGGCATTTTAAAACCGCAGCCGCCCCACTGTACTGTAGCACCTGGTCTCCCATCACAGTACTAACCAGGCCCTGCCCTGCATAGCTTCAGAGGTCTGACGAGATCTGAATGGCCAATGCGCCCAGTAATCTCAATGTTTTTCCTCATATTGATCAACCTCGGTTTTTAATTTCCAATCCTTAGTTTGTTAAAATGCATATTTATTTGTGCACAGGCAGAGGTGATCAGATTACTTTAAGCAAAAAGAGTGATGGGAGTCAGGTGTGTGCAACTACAGCTTCTACTACTCCTACTATTGTCTATCATTTCGATTTCCATCCTTTTTGGCACAGCTCTAATCTCTTGTGTTAATATTTGAATACATACCGTGTGCCAGTGGCTGCTCCATGCTGTGGGTGTAGACCATCTCTCGGATCAGCTCCACTGTGTTGTCCAACAGTTCTGCTGCGTAAACGTGGCTCCTCACTGAGACCTCTGTCTGTTTGAACTGAGCCAACAGGTCGCTGGGCTTCAACGATCCTTCAGACAAAGACTTCTTCACTCTGAAAAGAACATGTTCATATCTAGTCACGTTGATTTTTTTAAAGATACATTTTTTGTTAAATAAACGCACATGCAAAATCCATATGAAATACCAACATCAAAACAATAACAGTTTTAAATATACATACAATACAGGCTATATACATGACGCAACATCCTTAAGGTTATTAATAGCGTTCATTTTGCTACTCAATAATTGATTAGTTATTTAGAACGTTCATATGCTGTTTCTCCTCAATTGACTGGGATGAAGCTACAAGCTGATGTCCTAATGGATTCAATAAAACATGTATTTAAACAATTCCAAATCATTTCTAAATTACTCACTACCCAAGTTCAGGGTTAAAATTACACCTCTCAGCAAATAAAGGTAGTTTTAGTCTGGTTACTAAAACATGAAATTGATTACAGGCATATTAAAAAGTGAATCTTTAAATTGAATACATTAAATAGCATGATCTCACCTCTCACTTGTGCGAGCATAAGCACTGTCCGTCAGCTCAATTGCCTTCTGAAGAGCTTCCTCAACAAATGCAGATCCCAAATATACCTTTTCTGAGTAAATACAAACAGTTTGTGGTCAGTCTGTTGAAAAATCATGTATTTTTGACTCATATACATCATCATATTTGGTTTGCAGATTGAATTTATTGGGCTAAGAAAAAGATGGACTGTTATGAAGTCTATATATTTATTCAGTAAACTTTTTAACACTAGCGTAAGGAGTATCCATGCGTCAGGACACATACTGCATTAAGGTTTGAGTAACTTCTCGTGCACCTTGGCTATACATGGCCACCAGAGATCGTTAGTACCATCCAGCCCTATCACAGCAATGATTAGTAGAAACACTTTACAGACAGCCAGGAAAAATAATGAGAATATATCATAATGGCAAAAATGATCCCTGGATGATTTCGCTTGAAGGCCACTAATTTAATGATGCACAGAAATGAGCTATTTTTAGACAAGAGCGTGCTTACCTGTAGCGCCAACATTTTTCAGCAAAACATACTTCACTATAATGATGATGAGCAGCGATGAAAAGGAGATCTGAAATAGTAGTAAAACATTCCAATTTAGTAAATATAATAATCCATTCATATTCAGAGGTTGAATGTAAAAGTAAACTCACATTATGACTTGTCTCCATTTGTACTTCTGTAAAAGCGTTCAGCCTTGGAGACTCATTGTGTCTTATTGTAGCACTGGGGTCAGGTTCATCTCTTATACTACAGCAGGTATGTGCAGAATCCCCTAATCTGCACTTTCGGTGACAGCAGTCCCACTTCAAACAGCGGCCTCTCTGACTTGGCCCAATAACCACACAATCCCCACAATGCAAATCATTTCCCTCTGTCCCTGAGAAATAATGAAGTCCAGTGCAAAACATATATAAAGACTCAATGACAGTAATATTGTACGAATATTTCATCTTCTGCCTCGGGACTACGATGGAAAATTAGTTTTGTAGCCATAAACGTTCATTAATGTGCAATAATCCTTCATCAAACACATGAATTAAAGCTGGGGTGTGTAACTTTTCTGTCATTACTCAATACTCAACTCAGCCTCAAAGAAAGCAACATGTCTCAAAACAACTCAAACTTTTTTCTTTTGGGGGTGTACTTTTGTTAAATGTAGAGTTTAATATATTTATTACATATTCTAAAACATAAAAGCTATATTTTGTGAATAAATACGACCACAAAATTCTCGGTTCATTTGATAAGAAATCATATTTTCTTTTGCATTCTGATAAAAAAAAGCCCTGTGAGCCACTATTTACTGACAGCTGAGTGAGGGTGGTTATCTGTTTTTTACTTTTCTGTCTGATAAAGCGGATCTTAATATATGACAGGATGAAAATACATGTCATTGTATTCATTTGTTTTCTTTGTAGATTAAAAGTAAGGTTATGTACCTTACTTTTAAACTACAAAGACAACAAATGAATACAAACAGCAAGCACTGACCAACATTAAAATAATAGAACCAATTAGTACTTGGCACTTTTACTAACTAACAAAACAGTTTCTAATGATATTAGATAGAAAGAGAAACCAGGCAAAGAAAGCAAACTTCTGGGAAACTGTGCAGATTATGACAGAAAGGTCAGTGCTCAATATTAATGCGTGTGACTGGACGAGGCCAAAAAGTCGGTGTCGATTTTCATGAATCCAACTTGAAGCTCCAGTATTTCTGACTTTCGCTTTGAAGCAGCAGGTGTGTGATAGCAGCACGTCATCCTACCATTTCACTACATTGTCATTAGCTTCTTTCTAAAACTGACCCATATGTAATTCCTTTTCCACCCGTACACAAGAAACATGAACAGAATGTTGTTTGGTGTTTTATTTCAATAGAGTAAACTTCATGCCATAATATGAACTTACTATACATAATACATAAATGTCATTCATACTATAGCTTGTTACTCATACAAGTAACTGACTGTTAATACTGACAACAGGAATGCTGCAAATTGTTAAATATTTTGTTAATCATAACCAATAAATAAATTCATGTCATCTTTTTGTGCAAAAAAAGAAAACACACTAAAAACAACCAAAACCCATCAGTGTTTTGACATCACAGTGCATTATTGTGTCAGTCCTTATTGACAACCAATGCTGTCTATAAGAAAGGTCGGAGCAGAGTCTGTTGGGGCGACAGTCTGACCTCGAGAGACAGTGACCGGCTCGACAGGCTGATCAGGAAATGTGTCTCCGTGATGGGCTCTAATGCAGGGCATCCTGGGTAACTCCAGACTCTGCATGACGCTATGGCCACTCAGAGGAGTAATCGTAGCAACAGGCTACTATCACTACGCTGCCGAACTGAACATTTCAAGCGATACAGGGATAAATAAAGTATCTATCTATCTATTGGAAGACAAACAAGCAGGTACTGGCTGGACTATAAATTAGAGATGTTTTGTTTGTGTGGATGGATGTGTTTTTGCAGCTACTGGACCTGAATTTCTCCTATGGGAGATCAATAAAGTATCTATCGATCTATCTATTTATAATACAATGTATGCATTTTTATTTTGTTAGCGTACTGCCAGAGCACAAGAACAGAGTTCGACACGCAAGCTGAGGATCCAGAGCTGCTGAAGTGCACATTCCTGCATCATGTGTGTTTATGTGAACAGCAGAGAGCCGACACGGGGAAGTGCAGGGAAATATACAGGACATGTTTTATGGGATTAGTAGGAATAACATGTTTATTATCAAAATAGACTGGATTTAACAGAGTGCTTTGATCGTTGCAAGTCAACAGTGCATCAAAATGTTATTAAATCATGTTGTGTCCAGTTAAAACAGTTGTCTATCAGCTGTTGGAGTTATAGAACAACATGAAAACAAGTGGCTTTGTTCAAGTGTGGCCTATATAATGACAAAATTTACTTTTTCCCCCAAATTCAGCTTATTTGAAAGGTGCACCTAATAGTCCAGCAAGTTCTATACACTTTTAATGACACGTTAGGCATGTTGAGACCAGAGGAATCGGTCACACCTCTCAAGCATCGTCTGGATTATTGCCCTGTAAAGATGGAACAAAGTTAGCTTCAGAAAACACACAAAACATGCTGTGTAACCTAAATGAAAATGAACTAATTTTCACTATTTTAGCAGTAGTGGCTGGTTTGGCTGGTTCTCTGTGAACTGGGTGCAGCTCTGACTGCCACTCCCCTACCCATGAATAGATTAAGGGGAAATGGATGGATGGCAATAGTGGGTGATCACTCTTAAGCTCAATGAATCCACCCATTAGGTTTCTTTTAAAGACCTTATGACGGGTTTTTAAAAAAAAAATAGTGGATATCAAAATTGCATGACAATGTCAATTTGGAAGAGATTCCGGCAAAAAAAATCCTATATTTTATAAAAAGAACGTGTTTTTCATGAATTTAAGTTGTCTATGCTCTAACCTGTGTGTGACGTCACAGCGGGTTACGCCCATGCATTGAAAATCATGGATCTATGCCACAGGACTGCCTTTTCTCTATTCTCTCCACTGGTGCCCAACACAATACTGCACTCTACAGGTGACAATTGCTCACTACACATAAATTGCCGTTTTGAGTGTGAAAAAGTGTCCGAGGTGGGATTTGAACCCAAGTATCTGGTTTGGCAGTCCATCGACAGAGCCACTGGACTATCTCAGTGACAATGAAATGTTACATTCTAGTAGTCCTCTTAGACTCGCTGTACACGGCCTTGTCATCTTGAATATCCGCGAAAAAAGAACGAATACCAAATTGTAAACAACTTACAGCATTGAAACGTACCCGTTCTGACGTCACCAAGGGCTGTGAAGTTTTTTCGTTTCTAAGGGCGTTGCTATGGGGTTATTTCGATTTGGGGGGATCAGACAAAAAAAACAACAACTGATTTTGAAACTTTTAGTAGTTCTCTTCTAATATAAAATGGTATTAAAACTGTATTTCTAAATAAATCAAACCCGTCATAAGGTCTTTAAATGTTGTCCTGGTTCAGAATTGTAGCACTGTAGATATGTCTGGTCCCGTCCTTCTCACCTCTGTCTCTTCTCAGTCACCCGGAGCAGCTCGCAGATGAGCTGTGAGTGAGGCGACAGAATCAGCTGCAGCCCACATTTCTCCAGGACGTCCAGAGCCACGTCGGGACCAGCGCTGCGAGCCAGCATCAGCGTCAGGGTCTCTGGAGTCACCTTCCCCACACTCGCCCCAGGATCATCAGAGCAGACACCTCCATTCAGCCCCTGGAGCTCAGAAGCAGCACTGCTCTGCTGGGACAGCTGCATCAGCAGCTTCCACTCATCCAGCGTCTGAGGCTGCACCCCTAAAGGAAACAAGTTTGTTTTTAGAGTATGCATGCAAATACTTCATGGTATAAACATTTACAAATTAGGGCTACACAATTAATCACAAATAAACTTGCATCAACAACAAAAAAATCATACAGATCTTCTTATTAATAGAATTTGACTCAAATGAGTGTGCCTCATTTTAAGCAGTTGCATTTGATCTCAGTGGAAACTATAATTTAAGATAATAACAGTAGTATTCTCAAAACAAGAAATACACTTAGACCAGTGAAGAAACTTTATGTATATTTTCATTGTTTCTACAGATTACAAAGTTTAATTTTTGTCCTGGTTTTTTTATTCATATTAACATCATTATAATCATTTTCATCATGGACCCAGATCTGTGTGTATGTTAGTGTATAATTTAAGATTAAGATTAAGAGGTCCTTTATTTGTCCCACAGTGGGGAAATTGTGTTTTCCTTTCATTATGTTTTTAAGGGAAAAAGGACTACCAAATTCAATAAAAGAAATAAATAAAAGAAAAATAATGAGAACAATTTAGAGACACTTTTGTGGAAAGCCAGAACGCTGTATAAAAAGTGTCCTGGAAGAACGATCTGGAAGAAGTACCAATTCTACAACTTGGGCACCTTAATATGGAGGACCAAAAATGACTAAAGTATAAATAAATAAATAAATAAATAAATACAGGAATATATTAATAAATACATTCATTTTGGACAATAAAAACTAAATATTTACATTGATATTCTAAAAATTACTCTGAAATCAAATAAATATACTTTTATTTAGGTTATTTATCAATATCTACATTTTTTCCTTTATTTATTTATCCATTTATTGCATATATTTATTTATGTATTTCTACATTTCTTCATGTATTTATTTATGTATTTCTATATTTTCTTCATTTATTTATTTATGTATTTCTACATTTCTTCATTTATTTATTTATGTATTTCTACATTTCTTCATTTATTTATTTATGTATTTCTACATTTCTTCATTTATTTATTTATGTATTTCTACATTTCTTCATTTATTTATGTATGTATTTCTACATTTCTTCATTTATTTATTTATGTATTTCTACATTTCTTCATTTATTTATTTATGTATTTCTGTGTTCCTGTATGCTAATTAGGTGGGCGGTGCTGAACTCAATCTAGAACAGGATTGGTTAGGATTGCGTGAACTCTGGTCTCGATCATTACTGCCTCACATTACGGTACTCTGTGCTAGCTTGAGATCCTCTGTGCACTTTTGTGTGGTATGATGGCAGTTTCGAATGTAAGTTTTTTAGGAGCCATTGCTCATCAATTAAGAGCATTAGCAAATGATGTTAATGATGTTGAGCATAATGCACCTGAGGACTATCTACTCTTTCGGCTGGAAAGACTATTAGATGTTTTAGTTTATCACAGTGCTGACCCAGAGGTAGACTTTGATGCAACTGTGCTGGACGCTCTTCAACAAGCTATACAGCAGCTTCACATCCTCTCACAAACCGAGAAGGCTAAAGCCAAGCGTACATCAGACTGGCAACTGATTATATCCGTCGCATATGAGTTGCTGCCCCGCACACATCGACAATGTGACGAAAACGGGCAACTCCCAGTGGCAGACCAGTCTCGGAATAACAGTGCGTACATCGACAGCAACTGGCCTCAACTACAGTGTGTTTTCTGACATAAACTGTTGCGGGCTCGCAATACACGCAATACACGCACGCTGTCGGACCATATCGGGTCATATCTCCGAAACTGAGGACAACTAGTTGCCGAAAAGTAGAACACGGGCAACTGACTGAAACTGGAGACCAACTGTTCATCTCCAGTTGTAAGAGCGCGCACATCGACCGATTTCGGCAACTGATCATCTCCATCATCTCCTCTCAGTTGCCAAAAGCCGCCTTGCAACTAGTTGTCCCCAGTTTCTCTGTCGATGTACGCTAGGCTTAACTTTGCTTCTGTCTGGTTGCCCTACTGCCCACCAATCATTGAGTTCAGCACCGCCCACCTAATTAGCATACAGGAACACAGAAATACATAAATAAATAAATGAAGACATGTAGAAATGCATAAATAAATAAATGAAGAAATGTAGAAATACATAAATAAATAAATGAAGAAATGTAGAAATACATAAATAGATAAATGAAGAAATGTAGCGACACAGAAATACATAAATAAATAAATGAAGAAATGTAGAAATACATAAATAAATAAATGAAGAAATGTAGAAATACATAAATAAATAAATGAAGAAATGTAGAAATACATAAATAAATAAATGAAGAAATGTAGAAATACATAAATAAATATATGCAATAAATGGATAAATAAATAAAGGAAAAAATGTAGATATTGATAAATAACCTAAATAAAAGTATATTTATTTGATTTCATAGTAATATTTAACACATCAATGTAAATATTTAGTTTTTATTGTCCAAAATGAATGTATTTATTAATATATTCCTGTATTTATTTATTTATTTATACTTTAGTCATTTTTGGTCCTCCATACCTTAAGAGTGAATAAGAGGAATTGCAATTCAATATTTTGCCAGAATTGTGAAGCCCTGTTACAAATATTGATCTTTTTACAGTTGTATGAACATGAATTGTACCTTCAGGTTCCTCCAAAAGGTTGATGTCGTCCAGGAGACATATGGTGGAAAAAGCCTCTGATCTTCTCTGGAGCTGATTACAAAGATAGAGGTATCCTATCCAATATCTGTAAGTGTCACAGTCATGATTAAAGACAAAAAAACAAAAAACGATCACCTCAACCAGGCATGTCAAAGTCAGGGTCAAGGGCCAAATCCGGCCCGCAAGACAATTTTTAGTGGCCCCTGAGATTATTTTTTATTATCTTCATTGCAATAGTAGTAGTACTGTAGTATTGTAGCATTGATGGTAATTTTAAAGCCTATTGTCTCAGGCAAACAACCATATATCTGTATCTGTTCTGTATCTGTTCTAATAAAACAGTTAATTTAAAAAATATGTAAAAACAACTTTTATTCTTCTGGCCCCAACTAGCTCTTATGTTTTTAAATTTGGCCCTTGACCAAAATTAATTTGACCCTCCTGATCTAAATCAATGAAGTTTTAAAAAGAACCCTTACCCATGAGTCCTACAGCTGTCTGCCATGGCCTGCTTGGAGGAAAGGTCAGCCGGCAGACGAACAAGAAGCGAGAGGAGGCGTCCATAGCCCCAGCTAAAGCAATGGGAATGCCACCTACACAGATAATATAAAACATCTATTAAACATTTGGACTGTTTTTGGAAAATATTCTCGGCAACAGATGTTCCATTTGTGTTGTTATGACGCAAATGTGTCAGACCTTGCATCTCCACCAGGGGTCACCGTATCACAGAGCAAAGGAGCGTCATTGGAAAGAGCAAGTTCAAGCCATTCCAACCTCAAAGACTCTGGGTCCAAAAGAGACTGAAGAAATGACAACCTAAGAATGATATTAGACATACATAACAAACTTTTATGATGATTTTTTTGAGATTTTACCAATTATATTTAAATAACATGAGCGTCGATGTACCTGTGATCTTCTGCCCGAGAGTGGACCAGATTATCCAAATATGCCAAGAAGTGTCTCTGATCAGCCATAGCCATGACATCGGCTGGAGAAATAGTTGGATAAAACTGGGATAAGGAGCGAACAGTGGCCTCTCCGTGTTTCTCGCACAACCTGAAGCATTGCACAGGGACTTTAATCTCCTCAAGTCAAGTGGATTCAAATGAAGAAATGGCTCCCAAACCTGTAGAGATGAGGCAGGAGAGCAGATGCACTACAGGGCTGCAGGTCTCGAAGGCTGCGAAGGGAACGCTGCAAATCACCCCTCTGGATGACTTCAGCCACTTTACTGGACTGAGTGAGTTCTGTCAGAAAAGATAATAAACAACTATTGTGCATGGCAACCAATGACAATGAAATAAATGACATTCTACACAATGTTTAGGACAGGGGTTTATCTACAGCCAAAACAAAAAAGGGTGTAATACTTAGGTGTAAAAGTATAACTACACAAACAGGACTGACCCATCTACACAGTAAGTAGATGAAACAACAACCAGAGCTACCATTTATTCTAATTCTTAAATCATAAAATATTTTCAAAGCACTTTTGGCTCCCGACAGACATAGACATTAAATCAAATGGTCTGGATCTTAAAACACGTTGTAAAAGGTAAAACCATTAAGTGAAATGGCTTAGGAAGTGAATTTAGCTTAGGAGTAATATTTTTCCACAAAATGCATATTAAATATATAAACAATATGCTTTAGACAAAAAGTAAGATCTAAGATTTTGGATTAACTTTAGAATTTGTTTTTAATGGAAAATATGTTGCATTCAGTGCTGCCCTGCAAGTATTTGTATAAGTTAACTGATTAATCAAGGCAATTATTGATTAACTGGATTAACTGGATGAATCCTTGCACCCCTGGCCTAAAGGCTCGGACCGGCCCTGTCCGAAAACATTCATTGGAGAGACTGCTTCCTTGGCTTTAACCTGACCTTGCATGGCCTGGATGAAGGCAGCTTGGATGTGGGGCTGGTCTCGGTGACACCGCAGACACATGGTCCTCAGCCGCTCTGGCTCCAGGAGGTAGAAGTAGCGGCGCAGGAAGGTGTTGCAGCTCAGGGGGTATTTGCTCTGGCTCCTGAAGCAGCTGTGCTCTGCGTACAGCATTGCCAGCTGCCTCAGAGTCACCATCAGCTCTGAAGGAACCGCTCTGGGTGGAGTCACTCGAATAGGCTCCACATGAAAACCATTAGAAACATTGTTGTCTTTTTCCCCATGATTTGGTCCCAACACACGTTCACAGTGGAAATCGCTCTCTCCGTGGTCACTGCTGCTGTGTGAATGGTCTTGCTTTGCTCTGAAGCGGTCTAGATGTTCATTGTCATCTATTGGAATACTACAGTTTGTGTCAGGCCCAGATGCTGTGAGCTCAACTTCAGCTGGACCAAGTGCATTCTCTAGGGCCGGCAGCCACTGCAGCAGAGTTTCTTCAAGGCTGATTGGATCTAGGAGCACATAGAGGTCCTGGATTTGGGTCCTGACAAATGGAAAACACAACATGAATTAGAAGAAAATGTGCAAAATAAATGGATTAATGCAAAAAGTAAATGTTTTCACAATAATATAATATGCACCTGTCAAACTAACATACAATGTGACAAATATAAGTAGCAACAAAATGCATGCTGAGCTTGCTAAACCTGACGAGATCAGTCTTAGACCAGCAGGTGTACTTTTACTGTTTCTGACTGAGCACTAATTGCAATTAATGATCCAACAAGCTTACATTGCAGAGTCTGACGCAGATTGCAGTTCGTTAAAATCAGATTCACTGCTTGTCATTTCATCATAGAGCCTGTAAAAACACAAGACTTATTGCTACATAATCCATACCTTTGCAGGTCAAACATTTTTTTAATTCTTAAAAGGTTGTCTTACATATTTTCCATTTTGTCTGTGTCTGTTGCTGTGGGAGGCAGCACATCAAGGACAGGACCATCTCTAAAGTCAGGACGTTGCCAGAGTTCGGAATTCATCTGAAGGGTGTTGATTCTCTCTGTTGTCTTCTTCATGAAACTTGAAACACTAAAGACAACATAATATGCAATAATATGTGAGAGTGAAGCACATGGGAGAAGTAAAAACTACTAACAGTACTTCCCATTTACTATAAATACATACAGTATGTAAAGATTGAAAAGGGGAAACATAAAAATAGATACTGGTCTAAAATGTAATGGTATAATGGTACCTTTCTTTGACAGCTTGCAGTGCAATGCGTGGTGGTTTTGGTCGAAACGACAGAGGAATGTTGAAAGGTAGTCCCTGCTCGGACCTCTCCACTTCCAAATGTTCGCTGCCCTGTGGCTCTGAATCAAGATGGAGGCCAAAGCCAGTGGAAACACACAGATGGATGGAGCAGTGGAAAAATATAATGAGAATGAAAAGCCAAACAGGAAGCAGGTGGCTCTGAGGTGAATTACAAGATTAAAGCAAACACAAAAATGAAATGCTGCACAATGTGAAAAATTAAATAATGATTTGTGGTACGGGGGAACAGTATGACAAGATAATATACAGATTTAAGTTCCAATTAAGTAATAGAAGTCAATGACAAATATTTATTTTTTATTTAAAATAAGAAACGATAATAATTTCCCTGTCATTTAACTGGAAACAGCGAGGGCACATACAGCAGACAAAAGTCATAGATAGAAATGGAAAGCGAAAATTTATTTTTGATAATTTTACTTTATTATTTACACAAACTGATGCTCAAACCATAAGCCTGTTTGTTCTTACCTTGATCAACATGTTCTTCTTCTTGGACAAAGCTGAAGTCTTTGAGACGTTCCTCCTCAGACGTGGACTGGTTTATCAGGGATCCTGTTTCCTCTTCTGACTGACTTCCTCTACGGCTGATCACTCGATAGATGCCACAGTCCAGGACGTTAAAGCTCTCCTAGCAAGGAAAGATGTACTATCTATTGCATCTGTATTGTCTCCTAATAAGCCTGAATATATTCTTTCAATAAGACAATAGTTTGTTTCCAATGTGTAACTTCCTAAAAGTAGGCTTCTGTACAACGTAAATGGTACTAGATGTGAATGTAGGACAACTAACATGTGAGGAGATGCTGCTCCTTCGGCTGCTGGAGGCGGAGTCCAGAGGTTCCAGTTTGTTGATCACTTCTTCCAATTGTCCTATCATCTCTGCTGCTGTGGAAGGGCTCAGTTGAGACTTCAGGTACTCAAGGCGATCAATAGGAATACATTTCCTTGCCTAAAAAGAGTAATTTCATGAAATTTGTGCAATATCAATGCTTGGTCAGCCCAAGATTCTTTTTGAATGTAAATGTGTGTGGGGTGAATAAAGTGATTTAGATCAAACATTATGTAATAAACACAGAAATTAAGCTTTGAAACCTTGTCCCTGGGACAGCCTAGAAGACACATTTAAATAAATAATGACCTTTTGTTCATACCAAAGCTTTGGTTGAATTTTTTTTACAAACCATTATAGACTAAAATGTACCAGAATTAATCACTGTTATTAAATCAATTGAATTGGTGGCTTGTTATAATGCAGTAAATAGTATTTACTCTGCTTGTAGTGATTGCGTGCTGGAACATGCAGCAGACGGTAGTGGCCAAAAGCCATGACTCCCGACGAAGCAGACGCTCCACACATCGCTCGGCCGACAGCAGTGTTAAGTGGGACAAGCGCCCGCTGCCATGGAGACAGAACAGCTCGCTGCGGTAGACCACAATTTCTGCAACATCTGAAAACAAAGATCTGTTACACAAATAATTGCTGCGATTATAAATTAGTTGTCTTTAATGTGACACATTTGTATACCTTTTACTTCAGTCCACAGGAGCACTTGGCCATTCTGAGGTGTAAAGATGAAAATTGCACTGTCAGTCCAGGTCAGAAGATTTTGGTCGCTAAAAATATGGAAGAGTTGCTATGTTAAAGTGGCAGATTGAAAGAACACTAGAGGTACTGTGACAAACAGTATTGCAAATACATTTTATTTTTTTATTAAATTGCAACATGTGTCACACATTTTGACAATACCCAAAATAGAGTAGTTTTGCAAAGGCCAATGATTGTGGGCTCCTCTGAGACACATTGTATTGAGGTTCATTCCTGAGAAAGAAACAAAGTTATTATTTCATTGATATTTATTCATTCATCTGTTGCTTAAAAACAGTAACATAACTTACCTATTGGAGACAAGAGGCAGAGGAGGACACGCAAGGAGCTGCTTGAACTGATGAGTGCTCACGACATCACCATTAAAATTAGCCTCCCAGACCCGAGATCCAGGGCGAGCACAGTACAGCAGCGGCGGCTGCCCTGAAAACAAGCCTCTGTTCTGGGGGAAGAAACAAGCTCCATATTCACCATCGCGCTCTTTATTTCCCACACGCCAGAACTTCTCCCTTCAGAGACAGAAATATCATCATGTCATCGTCACAGCATAATCCTTCTTGACATGGTTTCAAGGAATTTTTATATGAAAAAAATCATACTTTTCTGTGTCACAGATGTAACATCGACTCAAAGAGGAGACAAGAAGGCGTCCATCCTGAAAGCCGAGCTGAACTACTTTAGAATCCACAGTGGTTACAGTTTGAACTGTAAAAATAACAAAGGCTGAACCCTATCAACAAGGAAACACAAACATGTTAATGATGTAAGCCACTTCATGGAATTTATTCAAATTGCGTGACCCCCAGTCATTTCTCTTCTTTAGTACCTTGCCTGATTTGGAGGACCCGGCTCTGAGAAAAGAAACTTTTCCAGCCGTGTCTCCCACAAAGACTCTGAGGGCGTTGGTGTCCCAACACAGTGCAGTGATGTCCTGGCTCCTGTGCTCCCAGGAGACACTCACTCTCTCTGGCCGGCCGCGACGTTCCAGCTGCAGCTCCCACACCACCACCAGACCCTGGCTACATCAGACATTTTCAAATTCTGGACAAACCATCACATGGTGACAAACATATTGCCTACCTTGTTGCAACAGCAATGAAGTCCTCATCATGGGGACAACAGACCACATGAGTGATTGAGCCCTCCTGCAAGAAATTTGATCATCTCTTTGTGGAATCAAGTAACTTACAGAAACCTTCAGGTTTGTATTAAGGTCTTCATTGGTCATCTTAGAATGGGGACATTTCATAAAGTCCATGGGCAACAGAATTATATTAAAAAGATGCAGTCAAACATAAATTAAAAGTTAAATAGAAACCAGATTACTAAACTAAACATGGAGTCCATGTAAGATATAAAAGCCCTCTCACCTTATGAGTGAGAATGAGTCTTTGTTTCCACCCTTCTCTCTGAATAAGGTGCAACCCTCCCGAAGAAGTACCTAAAGCGAGCCATTTTCTGGATACGGCCAAACAGGTGCACTACAACAAAAACATCAATAGTAGGATAATAATAGGATCAATAGTTTCCAATGAGATTGCCTTGGGTTACATTACACACTATATTAAAATGTCTAACCTTAAGCCTGCCAGAGTCCAATCGCAAGGCCCCAAGAAGAGGATCTAGACAGTCGAACTCTGCAAGTACATGAGTGTAATTCTCTGGGACAAGTGGAACACAGGTCATCTTGAATAACCACGCAAAACTGTAAGACAAGAGCAAAAAAATGCACACAAAATCAATGGGAGGGTGTGAGAGCTTATAACATCCATTGGATTGAATAAAATGACTTCTTATTTTGCAATTTTTAATCTTGTCGGTACTAACCTTTTTGTTTCATGAATAACACACGTTTGTCCCAACAGAAGGGTTTTTTGAGTAAAAGGTTGTAAACAAACCACACTTCAACATGCTGTCATGTTATTGGGAGATTGCATCTTTTGCATACTTGCATGAAATAGCCTCTTTTGACACTGTATTTGACACTTTTGGCTGAGTGAAAAAGCAGATCTAAAGATAAAACAGAGGCTGACAAACTGAGAGCCAGGAACTAGGTAGATGGATTTTATTACATAGTTCCATGTTTGTGGCTTGCAACTTTCCTGCTTCAATAGTAAATAATGTGTAACCACTGAAGCTGACAGAGTGACACAGAATATAAATAGGTAAGGGAACACTTTGAATGAAAAGGGACGTGTTTTATTGGCATGTGTTGGTATTTCGGTAGTTTCACACTTTAAATAAGTCACTTTGGTATTTCGGTAGTTTCACACTTTAAATAAGTCGCTTTAAATGGCCACTGTGTGAAAACCTGCACTACTATTGACACTGTTTCCAATTTACACTTGACACTTTTGTTGTACATTTCTTTTGCACAATCGGAGTGTTCTATCCATGCCAATGTGACATGTAAATTTCTCCTTTGTGAGATAAATAAAGCACATCTCTTCAGACCTTTAGGTTTATGTCACCGTGACCATTCAGCACTTCCTGTGGTGCAACAAAACACTCGATTGACAAGAGATGATTTAAATGAATTTGTGGCTGTTGGATGAAATAACACGACATAACATTTCCAACACATAACATCACTCCACTGTTTGCAAGCGCAGTATTGATCCAGTCCCAGAGAGGCGCCTGGACGTCCGGAGTCACGGGACCGTCAGGTGACAGTCGCGCTATTTTGTTCGGTCATTAATCGTAATAACATATACAAAAATATACATATGAGTAAGTATACAGCGAATATCAAGAATATGAGTTAAAAAAAATACACTGTACGATATTCCCCTCGTCTGATTTATGCTAGTTAGCTCTTGACGAACCACGCATGCGAGCTCACAGATAAACATTCTCACCGAATCAGTGCGACCGCGATCAAGCGTCGATTATAAACCACTTCACGTTGTTATAATGATAAACTATGCAGGACTGGAACTGTCCCATGACAGCCGACCACAGCAGACACCCGCCCTCATGTGTGACACTGCTCAGCTGATGTGCCTGTGTCCACTTCCGGTTTAGCAGCACTGCACAGAAAAGACAAAACTTAGCTTTGGCAAAGTGAATTTAGTTTAGCTAATATCTGACCTTAACGCATACAATACCTTGATGTCCATCACCTCAAGGAAGTTGTGTAGTATTGTTGAAATATATTTAAAATAGCAAACATTTATCCATGTGATGAAACTTTTCAAATTTTCCTCCAATTGATCTGTGCCTGGGTTACAGAGGGGGCCCATGGATGTAGGGGGCCATCTGAGCAGAGATGCCCAAGATTCCCTTGCCCAAACTATTATACATCCATGATCTCTACCCGGCTCCCTCCAGCTCCCAATCCTGATTCCCTAGGCAGTCTCACTTAATATATTAAGTGAGATGCAACATCGAAATTGCATAATACACACAAATCTATATCTTCACCAAATGCAGAATCAAATAACAATACGTGCACAAAGCCAAGAAAATAAAAGAAAAGCATATCTTAATTTTAATTCAGACTTTTAGTCTTCAGTGTAGACAGAATGTGCAGACATTAGAAACCAGTAACGGAGACAGGAAGTTCACACAAACCAATGCACTCAGTGTAAAATAACAGTATTGCTATAGTCACTTCCTCTTTCCTCTGTAGAACACAGTTTATTAATTCAAGAGTCTTTTCCAGGGCTCTTTGTGCCCAGAACCTCACTTTACCTAAAAACAGAGCAAGCACTTGGCTGTCCTTTGCCCGTATCTAGCTTGCAGATCGCCTCGTTGTCCTGAGAGCCTTTCCAATTCCACCTCCTCTGTTTGGTCACATTACACCATTTACATCCCATGTACATTTTTCATACTTAGTATAAACCTATCAACCACCTAAAATATTTCAAGGAAACTAAGATACAAGTTATTGTAAGGATGAGAGGGTCTCTAATGAACATTCAGGGATGTTGCTGCATCTGACAGTGCCCTTGGAAAGCTGCTGTGAATGGGTCAGAGCACTCCCAGGGACGAACAGGCAAATTAGTCCATACTTTGTATCCATCGACTGGGAGTAAGGAGTCATCATGTTTTCCTCATCATTCGCCGGTTTTGCCAAATCTGGAACTTGCTATAAGCTTTTTGAAGCATCTCTTCCAAGTGTCCTGTAAGCTGTATATGATAATAATTAAAAGCAAAACAAAAAAATAACTAAAATTTTGAACTATATTAATTCCAACCAGTAACTTACATTAACACTTAAATACTGACGTTGCACTTTCTCCTGAAAAGGTCGAAGCTTGGTCAACTGAAACTTTTCAAGATTTGTCTTCATTTTTATCACCTGAATAAAAAAGATGAAAATGGAAAATCAAGATTACTGTGTAGTTATTCAAATATGGAAATTGCCAAGTATAATTGCACCTTCTCTTCTAAAAAGGGTGTGTTAGCTGGGAAACAGGACCAGAAATGCCTCAATAGCTCCGCTGCAGCAGCATACAGATGTTTCAACTCTCCTTGAACCTCACTCGGGATCATCTCTAAACAAATAATCAAACATTATTTGCAAAGAACATATGAAAATATGATCCATTCAAATTCTATTCACTTACGATTAATGGCTTGCTGTGAGCCTCCATGCATGAGAACACCACCAGGGGAAAGTGCAGCAATAGCAGAACTAGCAGCCGAGCTGGACAACACCTGCAAAAGAAGTGCCTTTTTGTGAAATACAAGTAAAATTCCAATACCAATTTCTACAGCCATTCTCAGAAAAAAAAAAATGGCATTCATTTACAATTAACACAAATAGAGGTGTCAGTGCACCCACTGTGTCCAACGTCAAGCATAGCATTTACAGGAAGAAGCCATTTTTGAGCTACTATAAAACTCTCTTAGCAACCTCATAGCAACCAAAGAGACAATCAGCAGTGAGGTTGGATATCTCCTGGCAATAGAAGGCATCTGTGTGGTCAGTTATTATTGCGCTTAGCTCTGTCCATCTCTACACAGTCTATGATAGTAATACAGTTGCTTCATGGATCTAATCTACCTGAGAAAGATTCAGTTTGTAGTTTGCCATCTCATGCTGTATGAAGGTGACAGAATTGATTATATCCTGACTGGTTGTGAACTGTAGGGACTGAAGAGGCACAGGGCCATGGGCATATCTTTTGGGAAACAAAAAAATACATTAGAAAAAAGCCACACAATTATGATACAATTATTCATTGACATTAGAGAATGTACCTGTCAGACTTTTTGAGATTTAATGGAACCGTTTTTGGTCTATTTTTTATCTGAAGATCCTCGTACTCAATGGCTTCTTGTAATTTGACCTGAAATGGAAGTGTATATGAAATATCCATTTATATATCTGAATGTGATACTCTTAGTTTATACCTTTTTAATAGGAGGTTGGAAAAAATCAGAGTCTCTGGAGTTTCCATCTGTACTGCTCGTCTCACTGGCCTGCTCAAGAGGCGCATCGCTTCAAAATACATATATTTTATGAGAACAACATAATATAAGACATGTTATCATTTTCTTTACCCCTTCCGTGAGCCAGCTGCTAGCACCATAGCACTATGATGATTAAACCTCTTAATAATGGCAGAGTTGCAGCTGTCCTTCACCGACTTATGGGAATTAGAAGTGGAAGGAGTAGATACGTTCAGACCATAACCCTGCATAAAACAATAGTATTATATACATATACAGTATGTTTAGTTTTGTTTTATGACAGATGGCCTTACCTCTTCTAATGATTTATCCTCCAAGGACAAAAGATCTACTAGTGGATTTTTTACTCCTTGAACAACCATAGACTTTAATCCTGCAAGATTTTTAAATCATCAGTAATCATTTTCCATTATTTCAAACACTAGCTGTAGATGGTCATAAATACCAAGCATGTTTAGTTTACCTTTTTCATCCTGCTTGGCACATTCTGAGAAGATATCCTGTGATCCGGTGTTGATTCGGTCTCTATGAAAGTATTGGGACTGGAAAAAACATGTCCAGAACTTCTCTTCGGTTAAGTTATGAGGCACATTTTCACTGTATTTCTGTTTCACTGTAACATAATAATGCAGATACTTTGAGTCGATATGCATTTGACTAAGGGAAAACTAGAGAATTTAGTTTCACAAGGTTAGCAAGAAGAATAAGTGTATATTCTACCTGCAGGATATGTTCTGAAGATCGACTCAATAATGTCAGCCGTCAAATTATATATCAACCTATTGCAGCCATCAGTCTGTGGTCTAACATCAGCCTGAAAAATAAACACTCTTTGATTACGTAAGAATTAATAACGAAGTTAGTCATCTGAGGTTACATTTTACCAGGAAAGCTCCAGAAATGCCGACTTCTTGTTTTTTATTGGACACATTTGAATCGGCATTGTTTATCCCACCTAAACGATTGGCCCAAAACTCTTCAGCAGTAATTACTTGGCTTACAACAAGGTCTTTGTATAATTGGAAGAGGACTGGATCTTCCTGAAGCATCCTGTGATTAAAATAATTTTAGAGCGTTTTTAAAAATAAAGAACAAGCGTTTGTCACAAAGCATCAGTGATTAGTAACAAGTTCAGTGACACTGTCAAATGTTTTGTTAGACAGCAACATTCATGTGTACACAATCTCACCTGTTTTTCTCCTCCAGTTCTTTATTTGCCTTTTTCTTGAACTTTGGGAGTAGCTGCTGTAACAGTTCTTTAGCAGCTTCCCTGTCCTTTAATGCAGTGCTCTCATTAGAAAAATGGAATGTGGTACTTTCTCCAGTGTGAAGGACTAGCTGCAGCTGAATTTTGGCTTTACCATCTGGACTAATCTTTTGACCTGGACAAAAGATGAATGTGGTTCAAAAATACATCGTGTGTGCTGATGTTTAATGAAGAGATTACTCACAACGGATGTCCGCATAAAGGTGGCTGACTGTGAAACGGTCTTTCCCTTCTGGACCCCAGGCCACTCGCTCTGCCATCAGGTAAAGAGTGCCATCCTGCTTCTTCTGGCGAACTTTTTTCACCACAAGAAGCACCTCCTCTGACAGCGAAGCCATGGCGTCCCTGAGACATCCCAAACGCGATGTAAACGTAAAAATATATACATGATACATTAATAAAACAGAGTGCTGTCATTGTAACCGGACGGGATCACGTATTGTTTTTATAAGACGCTATGGTTCAAGTCTATTATGTCTATTAGCTAACGTTATATTCAGAGTAGCACAGCCTGAGGGAGAAGTAGCTTTAAACTTTATTTAACGTTACCTCAAACTGAATAAGGACCAAAGTCTGTGTCACTTTCCCTCAACGCATCGTGTGAGAAGGATCTGCTCTACACAGACAACTAGAAAAAGCCAAATAATTACTGAAACAGAAAATCACTCTGACAGAAAGCATAGAAACCTCCGTGCCGACATGACTGCCTATGTGTCACACTGATATCGCTCCGGTGTTAAGCAATGGCAATAAAGATATGGTTCCTCGCTATTCAATAATAGTTATACACCGCAAACTTGGACCAATCAATTTTATTTATGAAGCACTTTCAGACAAATAATGTAACGCAAAGTGATTTGAAGTATGGTTGAAGAATGAAAGTAAGTTAAAGGTGTATAGGAGGATAGTTTTTTCTCCGGGTGGATCCTGGAAACTATGGTCCTACTAATTCATTCAATCATTCGGGTGCTCGTGAAACATATGAGTTATTTTGGAGATTCTTTCACACTCTCTTGTTTTTAGCAACCCCAAAATTTTAACAGTAATTATTTATAGGCCACCTAAAAAGTGCAGCCTTTTTATTATTGAATTCTCAGCGTTTTTATCACAGTTACACAATTCTTACAATATGATAATTTTAACCGGTGATTTTAACATACACATTGACAATCCCTCTGACAATTTTACCCTAGATTTCTTAGATGTTCTTAATTACATGGATTTTACCCAACACGTCAGACAGCCAACACACAACAGGGGACGCACCCTCGACCTGGTCATTACTTATGGCCTGACTGCGGATGTGTCCTCTGTTGTCGACTTGGCTGTCTCGGACCACTACTGTGTGTTTTTTAACATCACTGGTTTTATTCAGCGTGAGACCTCTGTGAGAACCGTGAGGAAGCGACATCTAACCCCTGAAGTGGCTGCAAATTTTATTGACATCCTAAACAACACTCCCCACTTTGTTTTACCTGCCCCCTGTGATTTTATAGCAAATGATTTTAACAGGAGACTTAGTTCTGCGTTGGATCAGGTGGCTCCTTTAAAAACAAAAATCATAAAAACAAAATCTGCATCCCCATGGAGAAATGAGGAAGTACGCAAAATGAAATGAGTGCAGGGTGGCAGAACGAAGATGGAGGAAAAATAAAACAACAATCAACTACGAAATATATAAAAACAATCAAAAAGCACACAATTACACAATTAGAAATCATAAGAACAAATACTTTGCAAAACTAATCAGCCAGAACAAAAATAATCCAAAAATCTTCTTTTCAACCATCGACACCATTTTAAACCCTGATTTTAGCATGTCTCTTTTAACCCCCACAGACTCCCTCTGTGAGGATTTTGCAGTCCACTTCACGGGGAAGATAAATACAATCAGATGTAACATTTTATCCAACCGCACAACTGTTTTTAACACATCTGATTGTTTGTCTTCACCAGAGGAAACACTGGACAGTTTTGTCCTGGTTGATGCTGAGATGCTTGATAAAGTTTTCTCCTCAGTGAGGCCCACCACATGTCTTTTAGATCCAGTCCCCACTCCATTTTTTAAGTCATTTTATGAATCTTTTAGGGAGGAGCTTTTAAACCTGATGAATTGCTCTCTTCAGACTGGGGTCTTTCCTGCAGCCTTCAAAGCGGCTGTGGTGAGACCCCTTCTGAAGAAGAGCAATTTAGATTTTAATGATTTTAACAACTACAGACCGGTATCCAACCTGCCATTTTTAAGCAAAATTTTAGAAAAACCTGTTTTTACCCAGCTCAATGCCTTTTTAGATCAGCAGAAAATTTTAGAGAAATTTCAATCCGGTTTTAGGGTGAACCACAGCACAGAGACTGCTCTTTTAAAGATTTTAAACGATTTTAGACTAAGTTATGATTTCAAAAAGGTGACTGTGTTGGTTCTACTGGATCTTAGCGCTGCCTTTGATACAGTAGACCACACAATTCTTTTATCACGCCTGAAACACCTCGGCCTCTCTGGTGCTGTCCACAAATGGTTCACTTCTTATTTAACAGACAGATCCTTCATGGTAAGTTTGGATACCTGCTCCTCTCAGGTCCATAAAATCAAATGTGGTGTGCCCCAGGGTTCCATATTAGGTCCAGTCCTTTTTAACCTGTACATGCTCCCTCTTGGCGGTGTCATCAGGAGACATGGAATTAACTTCCACAGTTATGCAGATGATACACAGCTGTACATCTCCATGTCTCCTGATGACACCAGGCCAATGGATGCTCTTTTTAACTGCATTTTAGACCTGAAATCCTGGATGGCAGAAAACTTTCTCCAGCTTAACCAGGACAAAACTGAGGTTTCAGTCATCGGTCCTGAGGCCCAGAGAGAGAAACTTTTATCAAAACTCCAATCACACTCTTTTAATCCATCATCACAAGTGAGAAACCTGGGCGTAATCTTTGACTCTGAGCTGACTTTTATTCCTCACATCAAGAGTATCACAAAAATAGGTTTTTATCATCTAAAGAACATTGCCAGAGTCCGCCCCATTCTCTCTCGGGGCAACACGGAGACGCTGATGCATGCTTTTATCACCAGTCGCATTAACTACTGTAATGCCCTGCTCTCTGGTCTTCTCAAAAAGAATATTGCAAGTCTTCAATTACTCCAAAACTCGGCCGCACGTGTCCTGACTAAGACCAGGGGGCGGGACCACATTACACCGGTTTTAAAATCGCTGCATTGGCTCCCCGTGTGTTTCAGGATCGATTTTAAGGTTCTTTTAATGGTTTTTAAATGTCTTAATGGTCTTGGGCCTTCTTATCTTCCCGGCCCCTGCGCGCTCCTCCGGCAGCAGACTCCTAACCATCCCCAAAGTCAGGACACACACTCACGGCGAGGCATCTTTCCAGCACTACGGCCCCCGTCTCTGGAACAGTCTGCCGGAGGAGCTCAGGGCCGCAGAGAACATTAATATTTTTAAAAGTAGGCTCAAGACACACCTTTTTAGATTAGCTTTTGATTACGTTTTTATTATTCCATTCTATTTATCTTTTATTATTTATTATTTATTATATTGCTATTGCTATTATTCATGTATTGTGTGTTCCTTTTAGTCTCACATTTTAGTGTTTTACTTATTGTATTGTTTTTAGTGTACCCAGTGTTTCCTCTGGAGGAGCCCTCTGCACTGGGAGCAGTGGTCGGTGTGGCTGCGGGGGTCGGACTCTTGGGCCTGGTGGGGGCCTGGGGCCTCGGTTTCATGTCTCCTCTGGGTCCTGTGTCGTCCCCTGTGGCTACGGGCGGCTCTCTGCTCCTGGTGCAGACGGCTCCTTGGATGACGCTTTTTCAGCTGGTTGCATCTGAACCTGCCAAGTCTCTCATCATGGTTTTATTGTTTTACTGGTGTGTGTGTGTATGAGTGTGCATGAGAGCGTGTGTGTGTGTGTGTGTATGAGTGTGCATGAGAGCGTGTGTGTGTGTTTGTCTGTGGTTTGGGGTGGGTCTGTTGGGTGGTCTGGGGGAGGGGTCTTGGGTCGGCGGGATTGTTTTTAACCAATCTGTAAAGCACTTTGTGTTGCATCTTTTGTATGAAAAGCGCTTTATAAATAAAATTTGATTGTGTTGTCAAAAAAGATTTTGACTGACGTGTTCAGAATTTGATACAGAAATAAGGCCAAGAATACAAGAGTTAAAAATAGAACATTTATTTATCTTTACAATTAAATATTGATACAAAACTCTTGGAGCTCTTAATTCCCTGAAACTATCCCTATGAGGAAGCTCCCACTGAAAGATCTCAGCTCCTGTGGACTCACCACCTGCAGGAGGATCAGTGAGGGGCTGGTGCTCTGTGTCCTGGGTGCAGCTCTGACTGCCACCCAGGGCCGCCACCCCCCCGACCCAGAAATGGATTAAGGGGAAGAAAATGGATGGATGGATGGATATCCCTATGAGCTGAGCAATTCTAACTGTCCCTCCAGGCCTGCAAATGTGCAGAGAACATCCAGGCGCTCTGCGATGCTCTCTGTCTATCTATCCCTGCTCAGACTGCTAACAAAATGTCCTACCAACAGTTTTATCAAAATAATAATATCTACCCCAGATAATATCTTTAAATGTAAAACAATGACTCTTTGGACAATTTTGGAAAATGTAATTACTCAATTCAGCCCAAAATGTTTGAACAATGTTACAATAGAAAAACATGTCTCTTGCACACGTTTTAGTGGGCGTTCCCTCTGGAGAGGGTGATTCTTTCCTAATATACGAGAAAATCCTCCCTTTAAAGAAGCTATACCCGATTTTTTAAAATAAGTTCATAAAAATGCCTATTACTAGGCATAAGACAAGTTGTATTATAATCCGTAATTCAATTGAAAACTTGAGCTCATTGATTCAGCTTGTGTATGATTCAGGACGTAAAAAGTGCTGAGTAGAGATTTGGCGTGACGCCCGCTCTCCTCCAATCACAGAATGGGGAGCGGCGCTGCATCCTCTAGCCCGGGGTCAGGAACCTTTTTGACTATGAGAGCCATGAAAGCAAAAAATTTGGAAATTTATTTCAGTGAGAGCCATATAATATATTTTGAAAGTGAATTTAACTAAATGTCAGTATAATAAGCCTCTGAATTTATTATTTTAAATAATGTTGTTATAACACTCACCATTAATGCGACTTCTGGTGCTGCATGGATTTGCTGATGTCTTTGTAGTCGGGTTGGTACTTGGTGAGGTTAAGCTTCATGCAAGCGTTGAGGCTTTCATCCGTTAAACGTGATCGTAGGTTGGACTTGATGTTTTTAAGATGTGAGAATGACCGCTCACATGTATACGTAGATCCAAACATGGTCAATACAGCAATACTCACACGCTGCAGTGTGTGGTATGTGACAGGAAGCGCGTTCCAAGTTTTGAGAATCAGCTGGTCTTCGGGTTGGAGTTTTTTCATATCTGCCCACATGTGCTTGCTCGCCAACTCCGCTTTCTGTCGTGTGATTCTTTCCAAATCTTCATTCAGTGACTTGAACTTATTCACCCACATGTCTGAGGCCTTCAGGTCAGCCACTTCTGCTTCAAAATCTCTGACGGAGACACCAGGGATGTAATTCAGGTCAGCTGTGTTCAGTGAACACTCGTTTGGATGGGTGATGAACTTAAAAAGACGAGTGTGCTCACGAAATTCTCCAAAGCGTGCTTTGAAGGACTGTAGGAGACTGGATGTGCAGCCAGCTAGCTGGTGGAGATCAAGGTTTTGAATGGGCTCACTTGCTGTGCATGCATCTTTAAATTGGCTCAGTTTTTCAAAATGTAGTAAACGACCTGTTTCAAGATCCGTGATGAAAAGCTCCAGCTTGTTTTCAAAAGCAAATACAGCTTGTTGAAGGGATAACACTGTATTTCCAATGCCTTGCATTTTCACGTTGAGCTGGTTCAGATGTTCAGTCAGATCTACGAGATAGTAAAACTTGAGGAGCCATTCGGTGTCGGCTAGCTCAGGATGCTCGACGCCTTTCATTTCAAGGAAAGTCCGGATTTCGTTCAGGCAAGCTGCAAAACGGCTAAGCACCTTCCCTCTTGACAACCAACGCACATTGCTGTGCAAAAGCAGACCAGGATAGTTATTTCCAACTTCATCTAGCAGTGTTTTAAACTGGCGATCATTTAAGGCTCGGGCAACAATAAAGTTGGTCACACGAATGACCAGCGACATCACTTCGCCAAACTGCCTGTCATACATCTGAGCACAAAGTGCCTCCTGGTGTATAATGCAATGGAAACTTAGGATGGGTCTATTTTCATGTTCACGGAGAAGCGCCACAAATCCTTTGTTTTTTCCCACCATACACGGAGCACCATCAGTACACACTGAGAAAAGTTTATCCATAGGTAGACTTTTTTCTTGAGCAAACTCCATGAAAGACTTGAATAAATCCTCCCCTCTTGTGGACACTTTTAATGGCAGAACAGCAAGACTTTCTTCGCGCAGTGTGTCACCAACAGCATATCTTGCAATCACGCTGAAACTGCGACAAATGGCTCACGTCTGTTGACTCATCCAAAGCCAGAGAAAAGAACGGCGCTGCATCTATGTCCTTCACTTGCGTTTCCTCCACTTTGTTTGCCATCACGATGGTACGATCCTGAACAGTTCTTGCCGACAGAGGCATGTCTTGTATCCGTTTGATTATCTTGTCTTTGTTCGGAAGATCATCAAAAAGTTCATTGGCTACATCCAGCATGAACGTTTTAGCATACTTGCCATCTGTGAATGGTTTTCCGTTCCTCACTATTGCTAAAGAACCAGCAAAGCTAGCCGAATTATAGTCACCTTGCCGGGTCCATACGCGGAGTTGCTGCTGGCTAGCTTGCACCCTGCTCAGAAGCTCTTGGCACGCTTTCTTTCTGCTGTCTCCCGCAGGGTATTTTGATGCAAAGGTAGCGCGTGTCGAAGTGCCGCTTTAAATTCGACCGTTTCAACGATGTAATTTTGTTATTACAAATTAGACATACCGCAGAACCCGCTCTCTCCACAAAGGCGAATTCTTCGGTCCATTCGTCCTGAAATGTACGATACTCGTCGTCTTTTTTTCTTTTCGCCATCTTCTTCGTCGCAAACGCTGTCTCAAGACTGATTCAAAAGGGGGCGTTTACCTGTTTTTCCCAGCAACGGCAAAGGTAGGCCAGTATCATCCAATTAAAATAATGGAAAATTGCTCCTGCAGCCCTGAACAGGACATGCACAGTGAAAAATCGATGGATGGATTAAAACAAGTGAAAATATTTTGTTTTATCTGCGAGCCATATGCAATCATCAAAAGAGCCACAGGTCCCCGACCCCTGCTCTAGCCTCTGCAGCGCACAGTAGCATTTTAGCAGAATTGCCTATAACTCCTCTTGCTGTAACTGTATACACAGCAAAACAGCCCAGACGACATGAGGAAGAGAAGAGGGAACTAAAGCGAAAGAATCATCAAAGAAGAAATCAAGCCCAGGTGAACATAGCTAGCTTACATCATATCCTCTGGAGAGACTGAGTGCTGGACTCCAATGGGCGCGTCTTTGTTTTGTTGACAGATCTCAGAGAGTGAAAATCAATGACTGTTTTTCTGATGTTGTTTCTGTGAGCACTGGTTCTCCTCAGGGATGTATTTTGAGTCCTCTGCTCTTTACTTTGTACACTCACGATTGTGTGTCCTCCTCTGACTCAAACTTGATCATTAAATATGCTGATGACACCACCATCATCGGTCTCATCAGTGACAATGATGAATCCTCTTATAGAGCAGAGATACAAAATGTGGTTCAGTGGAGTAAAACTAACAACCTCCAGTTGAACGCATCGAAAACATGTGAACTGGTCTACGACTTCAGTCGCAATAGTTCTCATTTGCCTGTCGTAATCGACAACTCCCAGGTGCAGATCGTAGAGGAGTGCAAGTTTCTGGGTTTAACTCTGTCTAACGACCTGAAATGGGTCAAAAACACTGACCGAGTCGTTAAGAAAGCTCGTCAGCGTCTCTACTTTCTGCGTAAACTTAGAGAATTTACCACTAACTCTAAGATTCTGCTTAACTTTTATCGCTGCACCATTGAGAGTTTACTTGTTGGTTCTGTGTCTGTGTGGTTTGGAAACATCACAGATAAAGAAAAGAGAGCTTTAAACAAGGTGCTCCGCTCTGCAAAGAGGACCGTGGGCTGTGAGCTTCCTGTTCTGGAGGTTCTTTATAAATCCAGACTTTTAAACAAAGCTCTTAAGATTGTTAATGACTCTTCTGGCCACCCTGGGAAAGCCATGTTCCAGCTTCTTCCCTCTGGCAGAAGATATCGCTCTCTGAGATGCAGGACATCTCGTTACGCTAACAGTTTTTATCCACAAGCTGTTATCAGTGTGAACAGAGCACTTTAATGATTTGCACTTGTTTTGAAACTGTTTTAGTCGATCGATTTCACAGTGACATTTGTTTACTGTTTTATTTGTTTTATTTTTGTCTTTTGATGTTGTTTTATGTCTGTATTTGTCTGTGCACACTGGTGACTTTTGCTAATGTATTTCAATGTGTTTTTTTATTACTGCAAATGGCAAATAATAAACTGAATCTGAACTGAATCTGTTTGCGCGCGTAGGCTGCTGCCCGTCAGACGTAGGTAAAACGGAATAGTGGCCACACCGGCTTCAGCAGTGCGCAGTTCAGGCTGCTCTGTTTAGGGCTTAGTTTTAAAGGAATAGGCCACCGTTTTTACATACTGACATATGTGTACTGTCTACATTGTGCTTTACTGTCTACTCTTGCTACTTGTTCTAACATGTGATCACTGTTCCTGTCCCTGTCTCTCTGTATATAAATAGTGTCTCTGTTTGTTTTTACTAACTTGTGTGTAACACCAACCTGCCCCCTGTATTGTTCCCCCTTTATCAAATAAATAAATAAAATAAATAAATGTTCTTACCTTATCTTAGACTAGTTGATATGTACCTGTCTGGTCTTTGTCCGTGCGCTCTGTCATGCAAACAGAGCACAAACGCAGCCTCTTCCACATACTGTTTAGTTCCAAATCAGCTCCCGTTAGAAGCTACCAAACTCTTCCACGTGTTCCCTATTTAAATACAGTTACGTCACGTGTTACACTACAAAGTATAGTAACACAGAAATGTAACATGTCAATTTTCTCAGCGGATAAAAAGGGTGCTATATTGTGAGGCGTAATAATACGAGGAGCGCTTCGTCCGCGCACTAACTCCTATAGACTTCTCTCTGTCTGTCTGCGGAAGAAGCGCGAGAACATCGACATGTTACATTTCTGTGTATACTTTGTAGTGTAACATGTCACGTAACTGTCTTTAAATAGGGAACACGTGGAAGAGTTTGGTAGCTTCTGAAAGGGGAGTTGATTTGGTACGATACAGTCTGTGGAAGTGCGCAAACTGCGTTTGTGCTCCGTTTGCATGACAGAGCGCACGGACAAAGACCAGACAGGTACATATCAACTAGTCTAAGGTAAGGTAAGAACATATGTCAGTATGTAAAAACGGTGGCCTATTCCTTTAACTTGAGACCATTCAAATAAAAGAAGCGGTGTGTGATTTGCATGATCTGTGGCTATGATCTAGGAAAAGCACAGCACTATTGAACAATCGAGGACGTCGCGATGGATGAGGCAAAACTTATTTCAAGCAATTGGTGAAAACGGGTGGAGAGAGAAAAGAACTCCAACTTTTTTGAAAGCGAGTCGATATTGACATTATGCAAAAAATGAACGGCAGATATACAATCAGGAAACTATTATTTAAATGTAATAAAAATTACACACATTTGTTCATAATCATTGTCATTAACAAACACTTATAACCAAGGACTACAAGCATATATCAATACATGTATAATAATGCAGTAAATCTATTTTTCCTTTGTATTTCCAATGGAAAAGGGACCATACGCACATGGACGAACGTAAAGGATTGTTTCTATTTCGTCTGTCCGTGTCCGTTGCACCCTGCATGGAGGCCCTTCTCCTTACGCGCGTCATACGGACGCATGTCGTGGGCAGTGGAGCCACTTGCTTTCACGCTCATGGAGAAAACAGAAACGGAGATTAAACAGACACGTTTGGACGGATATGTAGTACGTTTTACGCAGCCGGGGGAGTCGGGGTCTTACTCTATGGGAGAGACCCGCGGGTGCGGGACCACCTCGGATTACATTCGGACGCAAAACTAGAGGTAATGTTTCAGTTCAAAGGAAGGTTTCTCACCCATCATCTGTACTTCTTAGCAAGTTTTCCCTTGCCCCCTCCCTTCTTAGCAAGGGAAAACTTGCTAAGAAGTACAGATGATGGGTGAGAAACCTTCCTTTGCTTTGACTAATCCCTGTACGACTGAGGGCTTACACAAACTTAATGTTTCAGTTATATATTTTGTTAGCAGTGCATTGTTTTTGTACCATTTCATCAGTGATTGTTGTACAGCTTACAAGAAGTTGTGCTCATGCTAATGTTAGCATATGTATCAGATCGCAAATAAAACTAGATGGCTCCATGGAATAAGAGCGTAGGGGAAATGAGAATCCTGTGAGCGAGTTGGGGGGCGCTGCTAAACATTAAAACCTTGCAGAAATGGGTATAGCTTGGATGTATTATCATTATCTGCTCCTGCAAAGAGCAGGGGTGCATGCAGGATCCAGAGAAGAGGTGACACATTACACCCTAATGTAACCCACCAATGCAGATGGTATTGGTGGGTTATAGTTTAGGGCAGGGGTGTCATTCATACGGCCCGCGGGCCGGAACCGGCCCACCAAGAGATTTGACACGGCCCGTGGCTCATTTATGTAAAAATATAATAAAAATGCATTTTAAAAAGCCGCTCCGCGACGCGAGGCGCCTCGACGCCGCAGCGCCGCGCTCAGGGGTGAGTCCAGTGCGTCTGTAGTGGCTCCACCAGAGCGGTGCTGAAGGAATAACATCTTAAACTACAAGACTCGGCGAAAAATACGGCACTTTGAGCGGAGAATTGAGAAAACAGAAGATAAACCTGTCTGGCCCTGAAGACACAGCAGTCTGTTTGTGCCCAGAGCGAGAGGTTAGTTCTGCTGCTGTAAAGGGAAGCTACCTGTGCTAACAACATTAGCATTAGCATCGCAGCCGCATGGTGACCGAGGTGAAGTTGGCCGAACGTTTGATATTCGCCTGATATTCGCAAGGGACCGTCTGCAAATTGCAAGAGGTCAAAACGACTAATAAAGACTAAAAATCAACAAAGACAGTTTTCCCAGATTTGATGGGTGTAGTAGCTCCATTTGAACAATAGCTAGCTACTACAGCCAAACTTTTGGGAAAAATATGGTTTTCCCCTTCACAGCAACAAAAATGAAATTGAAAAAATTCACTAAAAATCAAAAAATATTTTCCCCAGTTTTGATGGGTGTAGTAGCTCCCAATGAACAATAGCTAGCTACTACAGGCAAGAATTTGGGAAAAATATTGTTTTCCCCTTCACGGTAACGAAAATGAAATTGGAAAAAAATCAACAAAGACAGTTTTCCCAGTTTTGATGGGTGTAGTAGCTCCCAATAAATGATAGCTAGCTACTACAGGCAAGAATTTGGGGAAACAAATGTTTTCCCCTTCACAGTAGGAATAATGATATTGGCCTGACACACTGTATTACAGACTATATCCTCTTCTGTGTGAATAACACTGTACCAACTAAGAAGGTACGGTGTTTTTCTAACAACCATCCATGGATGACCTCTGAGCTTAAAGCCCTCCTGAACCTCAAGAAAAGGGCTTTCATCTCAGAGGACAAAGAGGAGCAGAAGAGGATCCAGCACGAGCTCCAGTGGAGGATCAGGAGGGCCAAGAGGGAATATGGGAAAAAGCTGGAGCAGAAGCTGGCCCAGGGAAACGCCCGTGACGTGTGGAGAGGCCTAAAGAACATCTCTTTCTGTGGACAAAGGGCCAGCGGGACAGATGAATTTAACCAATTCTTCAACCGGTTTGATTCTCCCCCCTCTCCATCTGCCACCCCTCCCGCCCCCACCTCTTCACACGTCCCCAGCCCAGTGGACACCGCCCAGTGGACACTGCCTTTGGCTGCCCTGGGC